CACAATGTCGCATAGGTGTGCTCAAATCGTGGAAGTGAATAGATTTGAGTCACGTGTTCAGTCCTTTGTTATTCATGAGGTCAACGACGGGTTGAAATTTGTAAACAAGGTGCCTTTACTATGGAGACAAGCACCCGTGATTTTGCACCTTTTTGGAAAATAGCAAATGAGCGCAAGACTGTTTCAATTTCTTTCATGAATGTAAATGACTAGTATATCTCTTTACATTGACCGTATTTACGACAACTTGAAACATCCATGCGCTCATATAAAAAATGGGCTTGCAAAATGGGGGTGTGGCCTAAAGTCTATGAGAAATCGATGTAAACAAAGTACCCCTGCTATATTAATCAGAAAAATACCTAATTACAGTGCAAGGAGGTAAAATTGAAACTGAAATTAATAAACTACAATGTTTGATGGAAAGATTAAGGCAAAAATATGTAGAAAATCTTTAATTTAATTTTTTGTAAATTATCGGGGGCCAGATTTGGACGTTTAAACGATTCATCCTTTACAACAAAAAGATCTTTATTAATGTAGCTCTCGGTAGAAAATGAGTTTTATTGTTGTAATAAGTTTAAATTGATAAATTTTAAACTTTTAATGTAACACTTTCACCACAGTTTTCTATTAGCTCTGACCGGAGAAGCAAGGTACATTTCATGCAAATGTACAACTGGGTTATGTCCTTGACAAATCCCGCCATTTCTCTCGCTCTTCCTCTTTTTGTTTTCTTTTGTTGTTTTTGTTTTGTTTATTGTTTTCTTTCCTTTTTTGGACTGTGGGGGATAAATTTCTTTGCAAAACTTAAAAGTAAAAAAGGTTTTTATTATTTACACACGTACCTGCATGCAGCATGAGCAGGGCGGTATAGATATCTTGTTGAATAATAAACTGAAGTCTTATATTATTTAACAAAGAAAGAATTCAGATTTCGATACCTCTATAGTTCAAAGAACTTTTAATAGTAATTATATAATGTTGATCTTTTAGGCAGACGTTTTGGTGTATTTATAAGTAAAAAAAAAAATGGATCGGTTATGCTATTGATTTAGAAATTTCTCTTAAAATATGCTTACAACCACCTTTATTTTACTCAATATTTTAATAAACAAGGTTGTAGATAACATTTTTCATACTGATTCAAAAAAAAAACAACAAAAAACAAAAAAACATGGGACAAGTCCTTTAAGATTAAAATGGTAGTTATGAGAGAGAGAGAGAGAGAGAGAGAGAGAGAGAGAGAGAGAGAGAGAGTACATATAAATATAATTTGAAGGGTTTATTACTATTCGTTATCAAGGATAATTTACCCTGATAAACAAGATTTACAGTTTTCTTATCAGGTTTTCTCCATCTTAATATTGTAAAGTTTTTAATTTCAAGTTTGAATCAAGTTTTTGGAAAAAAGTATGACTTTTTGCAAATCACTGCAACAATTCCATTTCTAAATTTTATTTTCATTGCTTAGGTGCGAGTGTGGATCCTGTCATTCAGCATCAGACATTCATAGACAATAGTTTAAATGACAGAGTCCTTGAAGTTAGCCTTCACGACTACATTCAGAGAGAAGAGCCCCTAGATGACAACGAACCAATTCATGAGTAAGAAAATAAGCAGAACATATTTTATGCTCTGTTTTGCACCCCCCCCCTCTTTGCTCTTTTAAAACCATGTTTTCTCTAATTCATTTTACTTTCTGGGACAGGGCCAATTCTCTTGGTTTTATTGCATTTTTATAAATCCTAAAAAGAAATGCTTATAGAAAAAACATGGAATACTTTAATGTATAAATAAGGGTACACGTAAGAAAATGTACGTGAACTATAAATAGGAATATATTTTTAAAAAATAGTTAACTGTGTTTAAAGTCAAGGTACGTAAAGGTTAAAAAACATATGCAGCTTCGAAGAATGCAGTGCCCTAAATATGCACATGTGCAAAAAATTTAAAAGTTTATTTCAAAACAAAGACAGAATTGAAATTAGCTTTTACGTCAAAGAAGAATATACATTTTAATTTTATACGCTTGTTATCAAAAAAAAAAAAAAAAAACAAAAAAAAAACGATTTAAAGGGAATCAAAACATATCTCCTTTATGTATCAGGGTCAATAACTAAAAATTGATAATGATATGAATTTTCTGAAAATTGATGCACGATAGCTCGCTTTCATTTCTCTGGGAAAAAAAAGATGAATACAATACAGTTGTTCGACGTTTTACACTTATACAAAGTTCTACACAAACCAAGCCTAAAAAGTAGACTTAAAGACTGCATGGAAAAAAACATCTACCCGCATATTCTTATCATTTAAAATAAGGTCTAATTAATATTTACAAAGTATTTGTAACATGGTTAGTATTTTGTGCAAATATTGGGAGGTGCCGTCAAAATTCTATCTTTATCATTTTTTTTTTTTTTTTGAAAAGTGTTTTTTTAAAAAAAGAGGGTGGCTATGAGATTAATGATAACAGGGGTATATGTGCCCGTTTACTTCAATGTTAGTCTCAGTTAAACTCGATTATAAAATAGAAAAGAAATAAAATTCAAGTCAACCATTTTGTAACATATAGTCATTTGCAGCTTCAGAGATAGAGGATCAACATTTACCTTGTTGAAGGCTTGAATATTCCTATTTGAGCTTGTAGAAAATAAATTGAGTCTGTGGTGAATGTTACGTAGTATTAATAACTTACAATAAAATTTAAGTTAAACTTTTTATAATGTCTTTTGACCAATATGACCCTTAAACTTTGAAAATGTCACAATTCACTAATTTTAGTGTAATAAGCTAGTTCATGACACAGAATCATATTCGCGTTCTATTGTCCCTGACCTACTTTCTGCTGTTACAGCTTTTGGACTTTAAAATTATCAAATATTCACTTTCTAAGGCATGTGTATAGATGTTAATCTGGTGTTAATATAAGTTTTACAGCATTGTCTCACAGGTCTGGGTTTATACACTCACTTAATGTTCAGCAGTCATTGGCTTCTGCATGGCTGAAAATCGTCAAAATTCAGTTTTCCAGACTTTGAGCCAACTATATTTAGGTCTATTCTTACTTGAATACAAACCAAACTCTCGTTTTGATTGCACAGTTAATTTCTGAATATTCAGTTTCTTTAACTTTAATATTACTTGAAATCTATGATTTTCATACTTGCACCATGGTAAGGTCGAGTAAGAAACCTTTGATCGAAAATGGTCATGAAGGTCAGAGGGCCAAAGAACATGGCCACTACTGCTTAAAAAATATGTAGATATCTGATATACAAAAGATAACAAACATAGGTAATCAAAGCTTACAAAGCTCTCCTAACAAATGTTAACATTAACTGCAAAAGTCCCACACCAAACAAATGTCCTGGTAGTGTGCAACCCTAGACAACATTTGTGCAAGTTTGGTCAGGTAGGGTTTTTAGTTACTTGACAATGGACTCAATTAAAAAAAAATCGACTCAATCATCTGGAAAATGTAAATAAGATTCAGCATATGAAGCAAGTATGTAGTGAGCATCCCCAGATGAATTTTCCATGCAAGTTTGGCCAGAATAAGACCCAAAGTCACCTGTGAATAAACTTAGTCATTCATCCAGAAAATGTAAATCATATCCAGAATCCAAAGCAAGCCTGGTATTTTCATTTTTACATGATTTATCCATTCAAGTTTGGTCCAGGTAGGGCTTATAGTTACTTGGGAATGGACCTGCTCTAAAAACTTGAACCTGCTTACTTACCTGGAAAATGTAGGTTGAATCCAGTTTCTGAAACAAGTCTGGTAGAGTGCATTCCCTAGAAAACATGGTTTAGTCACCATAGGGCTTGTAGATATGAACCTGCTCCAAAAACTTAAAACTGGTCACTATGGTTACTTGAGAAAAAGACCTGATCAAAAAATGCTGACTTGTTCATTCACCTGGAAAATTTAGGTCAGATCCAGCATCTGGAGCAAGTCTAGTAGTGTGCATCCCCTAGATGCATCATACATGCAAGATTGTTCTAGGTAAGGCTTATAGTTACATGGGAATGAACCTGCTCCGAAAATCTTAACCTGTTCACTCACCCAAAAAATGAAGGATAGATCTAGAACCCAAAGCAAATCGGTTTTTCACGCCTACATGAATCATCCATTCAAGTTTAATCCAGAGAAGGCTTATAGTTGGGATTGGACCTGTTCAAAAAACTTCAACCTGTTCACTCATCTCGAAAATGTAGGTCAGATCCAGCATCCGAATCAAGTCTAGTAGTGTGCATCCCTGGATGTCATGTATGCAACTTTGGTCACCATAGAGTTTACAGCTACTTTAGAATACACCTGTTCTAAAAACTTAAACCTGGTTCCTCATCCATAAAATGTAGATCAAATCAAAAATTCAAATCAAGTCTGGCAAGGAGCACCCTGCACCCCTAGATGCATGATCCCTGCAAGTTTGGACCAGGTAGGGCTTAAAGTCCCTGCTCTAAAAACTTTGACCTGGTCCAAAAACATTAACCTGGCCATTCTTATGGAAAATATTGGCTGAAAAATACAGCAGTTGAATTTACCATACAATAAAACATACTGGATGCACCATTCATGCAATCTGGATCAATAGAGGGCATAAAAAACTTAACAAGAAAAACGTTCAAAAAATCAATCTGGGATGCTGATATGACACTGATGCCAAGGGTATTAAATAATGTCCTCCAATTTCTTTGAGGTGAGCTAAAAAAGCTATTGAACTATTAATTTTCATACTTGCACCAAAGGAAAGTCTGATGAAATGCTTGCCTAGGATGACTTTGAGTTCATTAGAAAATAGATCAAGAGCAAAGATATGCATACACAGTGTATGATACACAGTACTATATTTTGAATTGGGAATAATGTTCCTATTTTATCTCTCATCAAACATAAATTATAACTATCCTGTGCTCAGTTGGGATGACACTTCACTTGGATAAAACTCACTCTATGTTGCACAATTCTTAATAAATGTACCAGTAAAAAATGACAATGTCAGTATTTATTACTTATTTACTCACTCAACAAAATGATTAAATATAACTCACTGTCATACATCAACATGTGTTTGATATTTGCTTTCCTATCCATCACAAACATAAGAAAATTTCATTGGTAAAAAGATTATTCAGTAAGCAAAATGAACAGCATAATACATTTTAAAAAGAAAAATGTTTATCACTGAATGTGAATGAAATCTGGACCCTCTGTTTGTTGATCCACCCCGTTGTTTTCTCTCACAACACTTTGTATCTTCCTTTATTGATCCACCCCTCTGTTTGTTGATCCACCCCTCTGTTTTCTCTCACAACACTTTGTATCTTCCTTTGTTGATAGGTTGGTATGAATTTTGCTGTAATAAAAAAGTCAAGTGATTAGAGCATAAAAGAACTGATTTAAAGGTTTTACTCAACATAAATAAATACCACTTGTCAGATTCATCATAATATGACCCAATATAATTAAAAAAAAATTATTGTAATGTCAAAATTATTTTATCATCCTACACATATATTGTGTTCTGCTTGTACAATATTATATTGAAGAGTATTTTTATTGATTTCTTAAAAAAACTCCGATATTAACTTGATATTAAGACTTACTAGTCATACAAGTTTGACCTTGATGAGTCGAGTGATATATTAAGATTTACCGGTCATTTAAGTTCGACCTTGATATTAAGACTTACCAGTCGTACAAGTTCGACCTTGATGAGTCAAGTGAAATATTAAGACTTACCAGTCGTATAAATTTGTCCTTGATGAGTCAAGTGATATATTTAGACTTACCAGTCGTATAAGCTCATCCTTGATGAGTCGTGTGATTTCTTTCTTGGCTTTCTGTATGGCCATGTCACTGGTGGCTTCAATAGCCAGGTAAAGCTTCCTCTCTCCCTCCTTGGGTTCTTTATTTGGGGGGAAATATGTCCCCCTGACCGTGATACCTGCCTCTGAGTACTCGCAGATCTGAGCCAAGGCCTCCTATACATCAGAAATCAACAACCATTATTTCAACAAACAGACTTGCATACTCCAAAATGATATATAGATATGTGTATGAATTTATTTATACATATTGGGGCATGAAGTTTGCAATTTTGTTGGAAGGCTAAGTACTCATTCCTATTGAGTAAACAATTTCCATGCTACATGTCCAGGAGTAGAGAGGAAGATTTTTGACAATCCTATAAATTCTGATGGTTGGCCACACATTGAAATTCACATTTCTTGTTCTTTTTGACAATTTCTATAAATGCTACATGCCAAATTGGTTGAAATTGGTAATAATTTCAGATAAAATGCTGATAGTGTTCAGTAGTTCACAACAACGAACAATGATCTGATCAGAATGCAGGATGAAAACCAATAGTAAGTCACTAAGGTGACTGAAAAAACTATATATAGTATATGAATAATTGTTATAAAACTCTTTTAACAGATCTGTGCCTACCTTAGATGTGACCTTCCATCTGGCTGTTTGTGGGAAGTCATTAATTTCCAGCTCCTCTTCGTAGCGTTTAAATGTCTCTGCGTTACTGTTTTCACCGTCTTCGTCCTCTGAGGGAGGCCGATATCCCAACTTGGCATTTATTTTCTCTGCAGTTTGCTCTGCTATTGTCTTTGACTGTAAAATAAAGTTGTTCAGAATGTTTGGTGTCAAAGAAAGTGAATATTTCTTAAATCTGTGTTGATGCTTTGTGAAATCCAACTCCAAGATACAATTTTCACTTGTTACTTCTAAATTGACATAGATAAACAAATATTTAACCACTTAAGTTGAAGGAAAAAATTAAGGATTGCATGTCATATCTACATCAAATGAAATATAAATCTAAGACTTACTGCAACTTTTGGAGCAAAACCTTCATCAGATAAGATGAACTTAGCCGCCTGCTGAGTGATGTCCCTTGCGTCAGGACCGATTTTCTTGGCCATGTTGATTTTAGCAGCAAGCTGTTTAGCTAGAGCCAGTTTTTGTTGGTTTGACTGCCCTGTGGGTAGAGCACCAGCCCCTGTGGCAGGGTTTGAGATGACCTGTGGCTTGGCTATGTCGGTCACTCTCTTTACACTGGCAAACATATCCTCAATCTGCTGATCAATCTAAAGTCATAAAAACATTAACTGTCAGTAAACAAGGCCTCAACACTCATTTAATGTATTACGTTCTATTGAAATTAAACCAAAACTGAAAGAGAAGTAGCATTTTGAAAGAAATTCACAAATTATATTCAATATTTTGTAACTCTGGCAACATTACTCATGGAAACAAAGAACTGTGTATCTTTTTGTAGTCTAACTGTGTAGTGTTATTGACATCAAAACAAGTAGACCTAAAATAAAACTAAAAAATAGCAAAAGGTCACATGAGTGGTTCAGGGGGCCTAAAAAGTAGCTTCTTATAAAAACCTCAGTAACATTGGTAAGACTTAGAGTATAATGATCATGCTTACATCAACACCTGTGTCCTCATCATCCGAGTCCTGAAGTCCGAGTGCAGCCTTTTGTAGTTTTTTCCTCTCATTAGCAAGCTGTGCCTCGGTCTCATCAAATTTAAATCCCTTCCCAAGGAAACCACTAGAACTCTTCACTGTCTTACCCTCCTGTGTTAAACAATACACATTAGTGAGAGGTATCTTACTGTAATGATTAATGCTTATCTCGCATGACATCATCCACAATCACTTTGATAACTACACATAAATAAACTTAGCTAGAATTACAAGGGAAAAGATTCGTATATCATTTGACACCAGTTTTGGAACTTATGAAATTTTATATCTGAGTTTTACAATTGATATTTTTTCAAACTTTGCAAACCATGTTTTAGGCAATCAAGACCAAAACTGTTAAAGGAGTTGCTCTTTGAAAGAATTAATATCTAGTTTATTGAAACAAAAATTCACTGAAATTGAAAGTCAAAATAAAAAATTATGCAGCTTTGCATATTCTATACACCAAGTTTTATCAAAATTGGATCAACAGTGTATGAAGAATAGCATTTTGAAAAGCATTTAACATATAATTCTTCTCTTATTTCTATGTTGAGCAATATTTTAGGAAAATAACAATAAATATAGAGAATTGTGTATCTTATCTTGCTGCTGTCTACTGTTTTACTGAATGGAATCTGTAAATAGTTTTTCAAAATGCCTTCCTATATACAGTATAACTTACAGCCTTTGCTCTTTCCTTGTAGTCATTCCACAGTTTCTCCAGATCCGAGTTTACTGCTGCTCCAGACAATTCTAGAGCCTTGATTATGTCCCCTGCATACCTCTCCTGTTCAGGAGTTATAAAAGTGAAGGCATAGCCCTTGTTTCCTGCTCTTCCTGTACGACTGAAATCAGAAATGAAATTTTAAAACATGAAATGAAAATGAAATGAAATTTTAAAACAATTCACATACTGTAGTTTCTGTGCGAGGAACAAGAGTACGTTTACATGTATATGTACATGCATGTGTATTAGTACACACAATTAAGTGTGGGGATCATAAAGATACAGTAACTTTGATACATAATTTTTCAATACAGTATGAAAGGAATACCATTTTATAATGCAGAAAGCTATATAGTTTTAATCATACATGTATACGTACATGTATATGTAATGATTGTAATTAATTAAAATATAACAAATACATTTGAAGTCTAGATAGAAGTTTTCTAGATGTGTATTAGTGACATACCCACATCTGTGTACGTAGTCTTCATAGTGATTAGGACAGTCGTAATTGACCACCAGAATCAGGTGTTTAACATCAAGGCCGCGGGCAGCTACAGAGGTAGCCACTAGAAGTTTAATGTTTCCATTTTTAAAATCAACAATAGTACTGTCGCGGTCATACTGGTCTATCCCCCCGTGGAGAGACATACAGGGGTAGGAGTGGGTCATCAGTTCCTTCATCAACTCGTCAGCATGCTCCTGTTTGTCAACGAAGACCAGGACACTGCCTCTCTCCTGGTAAATACCCAGTAACTCTAACAGCTTCAGAAACTTCTTATCCTCATCTATAACAATCTACAAAATAAAGGTCACATGACAGGATAGATATGTAATATTTCAATAGAAAATCAACCAAACACAGGTTGCAAAGACTTTATGGCAACAAAATCTAAAATTTTTATTTGTTAACACAACATTGAAAGAGCTTAAATATGAATTTTGAAAGTATTTTTCCAAACATGAAAATATTTCAGTTACATCTACATGTATATGCAATGCAAGCTTAAGTTTGGATAAATAAAAATATATTAAACATTGAAATATATGTACCTTAAATATTGATGAAGATATCTGAAGCATGGAGCAAAACATTTTGTTTTTCTAGAATGGTGTGTTTGGACACATTTTTGAAGTGTTTGGTTTGATTGGACACTCACCACATTCTGGTCCACATCTTTACAAACGACACTGCGACCCCCGACCTGGACTTCAATTGGCTTCTGCAGAATCTTCCTCGCGAGAGCCTCCATCTGACGTGGGAAGGTGGCAGAGAACATCACAGTCTGTCTGTCTGGCCGTATACTGTCCACTATTTTTGTCACCTGTGTGTAGAACAGGAATCAATACATTATTATACACCACAAGAAGTAGATCAATGTTTTTCACTCCTACAAAGAAACCTGGAAGAATGTGCACTTCTGAATGTGTAGTTCCTGTACCTTACATAAAGCAGAAAATTATTCTTTTTCTGGGAAGAACCATATTATTTGGTTGCTTAATTATGATTCACCCACCTGAGGTTCAAACCCCATGTCAAACATTCTGTCTGCCTCATCCAGCACAACATATGTGCATCTTCTTAAGTTGGTCACACGACCTGCAAAGAAACAAACATCAGACTGGGGGGATTAGTGCAAGGTTTCTTGAAACAAAATCTTAACTTCAGTTGGTTTACGTAAAAAAGGTCTCTGTGGAAAAAAAATCTCCACACTTCTTCTAATCTTGCTTATGCTCTTCATTTAAAATAAATCTGTTGTTACTTCAACAGGTAAAATGTTATAATCTGGCATCTTTTTTTGGAGCACTTCATGATATTTTGATAGGTCTATCAGTAAAGCTGGACTTTAAAATAAGATATGCCTGGTGATTCTGGGATCCCTGTAATTTTTCTTATGTTAAACAACACATAATTATGATATTTGGATCAAAATAATTTCATGCATTATGCACTGTAAAAACAATGTATCTTTAATATGTCATAAAAAATTATCAATACTGAATAAACTGAAAATTTCAGCAATAAATATAAGGTGAGCAGTCGACTAAATTTGACTGATTTTACAGTAAATGTATGCATGCATCATTGCAAGATTTGTGTCCTCTTCTCCTGTATCTCACCATAGTAACATTGATCTCCATGGCAACTGATCCATTGTAGAGGTGAAGGTCATTTGTAGTCTGAAATAAACTGTTACAAGAGTTGTCCTATCCTGGTCAAAAGAAATAAAGGTATTACACTGTATGTGTGGAACACTAGCCCCCACCTTCTCATCATCCAAAACAACCATTAGATGCACCCAGAATCAAGGTATATACATTTCTTATCCAGTGTGCTCAGAATCATGGTATATACATTTCTTATTCAGTATTTCTCTTTCCAGTTGAAGTTTTACTAACTTCTAAACTGCATTATTTTTCAGAGCTTATTAATCTGCAGTGTATGTCCTGTATAATTACCTACCAAATTCAAGATAAAACAACACTGTATAAAGGACTTATAACTAGGTTATTACAACACTGACCATTATTTGCTGACAACATGTCGATCATCCGTCCTGGTGTACACACGATGATCTCGCAGCCTCGCTTTAACTCTGCGATTTGCTCTGATATTCCTGTACCACCATACACACACACAGCCTTCAGCCCCAGGGGTTTGGTGAACTTTTTGCACTCTGAGGTTATCTGCATGGCCAGCTCTCTTGTTGGAGTCATGATGATGGCTGAAATATTAAAACATAGGTATATGTCATTTTAGTCAACATAAAAACACCTGTCAATTTACAAATAACTGTTACGATTTCCAGTATAGTTGTATTAGTTTGAAAGTATTTTTAGTGTTTGTAGATGTTATTTGTTTGTGATAAAGTAAAAAATCTATAAAAAATAAGTCCTAAGGGTGCAACGATAAACCGTTTGACGGTATATCGCGGTATATTTTTCCACGGTTCAATTTACGATACGCTAAACTGATATCGCGGTTCGGTTCAATTGGTCCAGAATTATCCGTTTTGTCCATTTTATTTCCTTCTTTTTCAAAATGGCTTCTGCCCAAAACATGAGGTTGCCGATAACGCATTTACGCCAGTTAAACTTATCTCCAGCATCTTACAGACCTCAGATTTAACACGGAGAAGGACTTAATGTGATTATAAGTTAAAGATGTTAAGACAAATGATAAACCCTTTAGATCTAAACGTATTTTCTGGAAATACACGATATTCCATCACGTGTGTATTTTGATGAAAATTCGCTGTCTTGTTGACTAAAACGTATTAACACGAGAAATATGACAATTGGTATTTTACGTTAATAAAAGGAATAAAAGAATGAATGTCTTCCTTTTTCATTCCATTTTAAAAGGGAGATTATTAGGAAAGGTCCCCGTAGTTCCCTGTAAATGTTCATCATTGGTTTAGAATGTTGTCACAACTCAAAAGATCTATCTAACAATCCAATTCAAGTTAACAAAATGTTATTTTAATTATTATTAAAATATACGAACATTTTGTATAACCCTGTCAAGTTTAAAAAAAAATATGATGACAAACTTGAAAGACTTTTTAACCTTGTCATGTATCCTGATACGTATCGTATCGTGAACTGAATACCGTGATACATATCGTATCGTGAGGTGTGTATCATTGCACCCCTAATAAGTCCTCTTTAAAGAAATTTCCCTTTTTTTTTTTTAAAAAATGCTTTATCAGTACAGATTTGTGCAAGTAATTACCTATTGGTCCGTCATTTTCATCCAGTGGAGGCTGATCCAAAATGTGTCGGAACAGCGGGACCAGGAAGGCTAGAGTCTTCCCACTTCCTGTCTTGGCGATTCCAATCAGGTCCCTTCCTGACATGATGGCCGGAATTGCTTGGCACTGAATTGGGGTGGGCTTCTCAAAATTGTTTCTACAAAATGTTATCATAGTATTAAAATAGGAAATTTTTATCAACACCCAATTGTGTCATGAATTATAATGGATTCCTCTCTCTCTCTCTCTCTCTCTCTCTCTTTAAGTCATAAATTATCTTGACACAGAGTATTTATTTGCTTTGAAAAATACTGACTTTCTAAAGACTTCCATGATTTTCTTGCTACAGCCACATTGGGCCCAGGATTTGATTGGTTTGGGACAATTTTTTCCTCGCACTTTGATTCCCTCCAGTTCTGACCTGTACGCATCCACCTCTGTCGTAAAAAAAAAACCCAGATTCTAGATTAAACCTCTTCTTATCACAAAAAGAGTGTGCAATGATCACAAACAATAAATGATTTGTTAGTCAATCATTTGTCTAAATACTATAAATGTACATAAAGAACAAGTCTCAAAAAGGCTTATCTGTGGTCCCCGGTTACTCGTCAAATTTCGAACATTTATTTAAAGATTTAAAAATTAAATTTTATTGTTAATTAATGTCTTTATTATTTGAATCATCATCTAAAAATGTCAAACAATAGATATAGGCAGCATACGAAGCTGCGTGTTGAAGAAAGGGGCCTTTGATTTTCATGAATATCAAAAGAAATCGGTGACATGTACACACTTCAAAGCTTTTGTAAACACCGAGCACAGGTTTGTTCAGGGTCGAGTTTGAAATATAATGTGTATATTGTATGTGTAAAGGTTGACTGAAAATATCTTTGTTGAACAACCTTGTGCTCTATGTTTTCTAATTAAAAAGCATTGTGATTTTGAATCTCTTTGCTGACTTCATTTACATGCGATTAACCTCTATATGACCTGTTTAGAATCATAACAAGCCACGTGGATTTGTATCGTTACAGGTAATTGCCCCCAGTAAACGTGTTAGCTCTCAGTTGAAATGTACTCAGTTCTATATCTGTCAGCAAGCACTTGTTTGGTTCATCTTGTTATAGAGTTTTATTGTCAAAAATTTGTAAATAGAAAATTGTATTTGTAGTTGATTGTGAATCTTGAACATATAATTCGTCTTTGAAAGAAAAATATCATATAAACATATTCTTTTTATAGTATCTAATCTAAATGCCTCCGCCCATTTCCATGTAATAGAGAAACCGTAGTCTGGTCGGGGGAAAATGTTCCGGCATTTTTTAGTGCGATAGTTTTAAAAAATTGGCTTGTGGTTTTTGATACGTTTAATTATTCATTATAAATACACAATGCTTTAATTAGAAATACTTTGTTATACACAATGAAAACAAACAAAATACCTAATGCTAATATTTAACTGGTAAACCAAGGGTGTAAAAAGGGACCACACTACTATACTTAAGTAGAATACTCCTTAGGGCACTCAAAATTTAGCACAGTTTTCCTTATCAAATGATTAGCGTAATCATGAATTAGCACATTTGAACCCAAGTCTCTAAATGTATTTGTTTCCATCATGTATAAGCATATACTTGAGGCAGTGCAAAAGGCACTAAAATATGATTACTGCTATTAAAAATAAGTATGTTTACAGCAATTAATATGTCTGTGATGAGAGGAAAAACAGCCTTGAAATGCAATAGAAACTGCAATTCCTCCACTACATTTTGATCCCCAGAACATTTCATAAGAGTGACTTACCTTCAGGGGTCATTTTGGCAGTAGTTACAAAGTAACTCACCTTCAGGGGTCATGTTGGCAGTAGTTACAGAGCAAGTTACCTTCAGGGGTCATGTTGGCAGTAGTTACAGAGTAACTTACCTTCAGGGGTCATGTTGGCAGTAGTTACAGAGCAAGTTACCTTCAGGGGTCATGTTGGCAGTAGTTACAGAGTAACTTACCTTCAGGGGTCATTTTGGCAGTAGTTACAGAGTAACTCACCTTCAGGGGTCATGTTGGCAGTAGTTAAAGAGTATCTTACCTTCAGGGGTCATGTTGGCAGTAGTTACAGAGTAACTCACCTTCAGGGGTCATTTTGGCAGTAGTTACAGAGTAACTCACCTTCAGGGGTCATTTTGGCAGTAGTTACAGAGTAACTTACCTTCAGGGGTCATGTTGGCAGTAGTTACAGAGCAAGTTACCTTCAGGGGTCATGTTGGCAGTAGTTACAGAGTAATTTACCTTCAGGGGTCATTTTGGCAGTAGTTACAGAGTAACTCACTTTCAGGGGTCATGTTGGCAGTAGTTAAAGAGTATCTTACCTTCAGGGGTCATGTTGGCAGTAGTTACAGAGTAACTCACCTTCAGGGGTCATTTTGGCAGTAGTTACAGAGTAACTCACCTTCAGGGGTCATTTTGGCAGTAGTTACAGATTAACTTACCTTCAGGGGTCATGTTGGCAGTAGTTACAGAGCAAGTTACCTTCAGGGGTCATGTTGGCAGTAGTTACAGAGTAACTTACCTTCAGGGGTCATTTTGGCAGTAGTTACAGAGTAACTCACCTTCAGGGGTCATTTTGGCAGTAGTTACAGAGTAACTCACCTTCAGGGGTCATGTTGGCAGTAATTACAGAGTAACTTACCTTCAGGTGTCATGTTGGCAATCTCTGGAACCTCTACGTAAAAGTTCTTCCTGAACGGAGCATAATAAATCTTGTCATGATTAACCACAATGGCATCCTACCAAAAAAAAAAAAAAGATAAGATGGTGACAGTGTATGATCTCAATCTTTTATAAAATCATTTTTTTTAACATGTATTAGAGTCAACTTAATAGCAATTTATAGTGATTAACCTTTACTTCTCAATGTACAATGTTCATATATATCCTCACATGTGTATGTAATGTTTTGAGTAATGACTGTGTTGGATGGCATTTACAGTGTATTTGAAAAGAATCTTTTCATAATTCAAGGCTTTATTTATCGAGTTTTATTTTGTAAAAAATACATGTACTTCACACATTTACAAATGAAAGAAATATATTTTCCTTCTAGAATGGTAAAATGTGCCATGTGGTACATGTATATAAGGAATGGTAAAATGTGCCATGTGGTACATGTATATAAGGAATTGTAAAATGTGCCATGTGATACATGTATATAAGGAATGGTAAAATGTGCCATGTGCTACATGTATATAAGGAATGGTAAAATGTGCCATGTGGTGCATGTATATAAGGAATGGTAAAATGTGCTATGTGGTACATGTATATTAAGGAATGGTAAAATGTGCCATGTGGTACATGTATATAAGGAATGGTAAAATGTGCTATGTGGTACATGTATATAAGGAATGGTAAAATGTGCCATGTGGTACATGTATACTCACTTGGATAAATGAGAAATCAATATGGCTTTTTTTGTTCATGCATATACATTAATTAATTTAAATGATACTTCCTCATGTCATATTGATACAATATACAGTATCATTGCCATTTTATGGAACTAAAACAATACTTGTAGTACATTGGTACCTTTTTCTTCTTGTTCATATTCGCAAAAGTCGATTCCAAATCTTCCTCCTCCTCTTCAGACGAATACTACAAAGTAAACAAAACAAAATAAACAATGCAGAACTAGAGGTACTGTGAGCAAACTCGCAAAATAATACCCCTGCTGCAATTTTTTAAAGTGCCCATTCAAATTTTGTAAATGTGACTTTGAACTTGCCAAAAAGACCTTAGTTTAAAAAAAATGACACATCCTCTGGTCATAAAGAATCCTTTAGTGAAATATGGACATCCTATGTTTCTCCTTTAGTAAATTGTAGACCTGTCATGAATTTTATACTTTTTCTGCCAGTTACTTTGAACTTGCTAGAATGACCTTGGTTCAAGGTCATGACACACCCTCGGGTTATAAACAATCTCTGTACCAAGTATGAGCTTCCACTGATTCTCCATTACAAATTATAGCCCAGACATGAATTTTACACTTTTTTTTTTTTATACACTTTTTCTCTTTCAGTGATCTTGAACTTGCTGGGATAACTTTTTGGTCATAAACAATCTGTGTACGAAGTACGAGCTTCCAAAGATTTTCATTACAAAGTTATAATCCGAACAAGATTACATGGACAGATAGACAGACAGACAGACAAAGTGATTCCTATATACTCTCCCAAACTTCGTTTGCGGGGTATAATAAACAACACAAACTGAGTTCTCTGATAAATGTACAAAACTTTCTTGATTTCTTATTAAATTTACAATCAGACACCAAAAGTACCATTTTTCTTGGTAACTTTACAATCAAGCTAACACCCAAACTTTATAAATTTACACTGTCCACCAAGACAAGGCATACAAGGCTGCCCTCTTTATATATTTCTGTCTGACTATAGAGCCTGTACAAGATGCCTTACCTCCATCAGATCAACATTATTCTCCATCAGTTCCCCTTTCTCTTTCTCGGGTTGGACTTTTTTCTTGGCCACTGCTGTAATAATGGTGACTTTTCCCGTACTCTGTACTCCATCACCCTACCAATACATGTAATTGTAAATTCCTTAAAAACTTCACAAATTTACTGCATCCTATTCAGTTGTGTCTTGAATTATGGGTTAATTAATTATTAATTAAGAATTAAGACATGATATCAATAAAAGACTACATTCCTTTCTTCTCCAAACACAACATTTATGTATGTATACTTACATTTGGTTTTTCTTTTTCCTTTGGTTTAACTTCTGTCATGATGTCCTAAAAAAAAAAAAAAACAACGAAAAACTTAATACATGTATATCCAAATATAAAGTTATTTGACAGTCTTATTATATAATGCTTTGGTATTTTTACAGACTTGCAGATATGCATAAACCTTGGGATATAATACAAATGGCTTATATACATACACATTTGAAACAGACATGCATGTAGAATCAGCCATATATACACCATATATACAATACAGATCAGTTATAAACAGACTTACTTGTATCATGTTATATATAGATGTGCATATATCATGTGTTATATAGAGATGTGCATGTATTGTATGTTTTATATATAAATATATATATATATATATATATATATATATATATATATATATATATATATATATATATATATATATATATATATATATATACAGACCTTCATGTAATGTGTTATAAACAGACCAGCACATAGACTCAACCATATACACAATACAGATGAGTTATAAACAGACCTGCATATATCATGTTATATACAGACCTGCATGTATCATGTGTTATACACAGACCTATATGTATCATGTGTTATATAACATACCTGCATGTAACATATTAAGAGAGACTTGCATATATGGGTATACAATACAAATGTGTTATATTACAGACCTGTATGTATAGTGTTATATAGAGACCTGTATGTAACATGTATTATATAGAGACCTGCATATATGCGTCCAGTGGGTCCACTTCGTCTCCCTCTTCCATGTTTTTCTCCTCTACCTCGTCCTCGTCGTCGTCATCCTCGTCCTCTAATGACCACTTTTTGCTGACTGGAGCTATATTGATCGGGATTAGTTCCTGTTTCTTCTTCCTTTCAGCCCGCCACTGTTCAATTCTCTCCCGGCGTTTCTGCATCTCCATCTCCAATCTTTTCTGTTCTTCTTCCTTAAAATAATTACTGGTACATAGAATTACGTTACAAAAATCCAGCAAACAAAAATAAAATGCATAATATTCTGAGATGGAGTTAATAAGCAGTGCTGTGAATTGATCCTCTTTCTGTGATTATTAATTGCTTTTATTTATTAATTCCTGATTAATGAGCAGTATTAACATTACTACCTAAATCAACTGACTTTTTCCTTTTATTATTACAAAATGTTTTTATAGTACATGATTGCAAATAAAATGAACAAAAATAATTTTGTTCTAATTTACATGATTTTTTCTTTCTAATATATTGCCAGAGTACATGAATAACATTAATACCGACTCATACCTTATATTATGATAAAGGATGACTGCCACTTAAGAACATGCAAAATTTGCAACAAAATAAACTTTCAAAACGAGAATTTTTCTTTTAATTGGAGGAATGATCAGAATTGAATCATAATTACATTAAATAAAAGTATGTATTTACAAAGTATGAATCTGTTTTCATAAGCAAGGGTCATCATGATTTCTCCATACGATAATGAGGATGCCCACTCATTTACTAACTTTATACAAAGTCAGCACATGTTTGTCTATTGTTCTCAGTTTAAAAGAAGTTGTATATTTGCATTTATGAAGTTTTGTCAAAAGGAGATAATACAAAAACATGGGTTCATGGTTTAAAAGAAAAAAAATCTCTCTCTTCATGCTTATATTTGCTCTCTCTGTTGTAACCAAGGGCTGTGACATGTTGAATTATTCACTGTGTGATTTCTTACCTCATGTAACTTTGTGAATACTACGGTAAATTTTGTCATGTGACATGTAAAGTAGCATGTAATGTGCTAACTTTGACATTGTTTTCGAATACTTTAAATTGTCAGGTATTGACTTGAAATCTTCTGTACTTACATGGACATGCCCTTATTGTTATTTTCATTTTAAAACCTTTGTAAAAAGTGTACTTGTGGTCTAGTCTTGTGCCATACAGAATAGAGAGGTTGGTGAGGAAAAAGTCATCATGCATTTTTTTTTTTCATACAAAGCTAGTCTAATTACAGACCCATGGTGATTCTTACAATGTTAGCTCCACCTCTCATGCCTAATACATGTATTCAATCAAGGGCAGTTAAGTGTAAACTCTCTATAGATAGTTTTCGATAGGCCTGAATTTAGCAAGAGTTATTTCCCATTGGTGCCATATTGGAGGTCCAACGAGCGAATTTTCCTCTTAGAGCAACCAATTTTAAACTTTTATAGCAGAAATATTAGGGCAGAAATCTTTAAAATAATAAAGTTACGAATTAAAGGAAGCTTGTGTTCCCATAAATTTGTAAGAAAAATTATGTTATCTTCATAAATTGGGCTTGTATACCTCCAATATGGCGACCAACGGGAAATAACTCTTGCTAGAATTGTGTCTATCGAAAACTATCTATATTTGGAAAACAGTAAGGATGAAAAACATAAAATTATTTTATAGTATCACTTCTAAAATTATTTCAGCATTTAAATTTGGTTCCATATTGACAAGAATTTTAATAAATATACAAAAGTGAAATAAGTTAAGATGTAAAAGCAACAGAAGTGACTGACAGGGTCCCAAACCTGTAGCCCTTTTCACAAAAAATCTTAAGTTTTTGTGTAAGATTTTAACTTAAGAATCTCTTACGACAAATCTTAGGTGCGTTTCACGAACGCATTCGTAGCAGATTCAACTTAAGATTTTACTTACGACAGACTTCATCCCTAGCAACGACTTAAACATGTTTTATAATCCTTAACTAAGTGGGTGAAAATAAAAATAAAACTTAGTTTTCAACATTTTCAGCAGAACAAACATTATTAACAACAAATATCGAATGCAATCGTTTGTGAAGCAAGGAAGTTTGAAATCTGACGTCACAATCACCAGTCTGACGTAAAAGTAGGTCATACGAAAATCTTAAGTGAAACTTACATCGTAAATATTTTGTAGTGATTTCATTTAATTTTTCGACAAGGATTGTGAAAAAAATATATTATTGGAAGTTGCTTCAAAAAGTTCAATTTAACGTGTATTTTGGTTTTTGCGGTTATATTTTTACAATAAAATTGGTTTTAAAATACTTAAGAGAGGGTTGGGGCTCTCGTAAAGTTACGACAGATTTTGCACTTACGACTTTCTTAAGAATTTATGTGAAAATGATTTTTATCGTAAGTTTTGACTTAAGATAAAAATATGTCGTAAGATTTTTTGTGAAAAGTGCTACTGGTGTTAGATGCAGTCATCCTTTATTTTTAATGTGCTCTTAAACTATTATTTAATAAAACTATATAACATAAATATAACTTATATTGAATTACATGTATAATGTATAAATGGGCTTATTAAAAGTATTAGAAAATAATCTTATTTTTAAAATATATCATAATTAATTAGTCTGCAGGTTTTCATTAACTTGTATGTACAAGTTTACAAGATAACTCTGTTCAATCTTTCAAATAAATTATGACATAAAACTAATATAGGGTATGTTGTATATATCTTTATGACTGGTCACCTGTCAAAATATACACAAGTTTAAATATTGCAGGTGTGCCAGGTGTGACAACAATCCCCCAGGTAGCCACACCTGTCCCCTGTATACCTGGCTGTGCTCACTGGGCCATGTCCACCTGTCAGGTGAATTAACAGTAAACTTCCCACCCCAATAAGCAATGTTGTGTCAGCACCCTGCTGAGATAATTCATCAGAGCAGGTATTTATATGACTTTACAGAGATTTTGACCATCATTGCTATCTCACTTTGAAAGGTATAGAGGGGTTAGACATAGAAGGTTAATCCACCTATAAAAATACTTGGGATTCTAAATTAATAGACTGTGAGACTAGCCTCTCTACTAGAAATTACTGTTGTACTTTGAATATAAGTCAGAGAGGTGAAATTTAAGATGATGACAAAGATTCAGAAGAAGAAACTCTTACTGGCCAGTTCTAATGTTTTAACAGATTTCCTTAAGAACTACAGCAAAGCTGGGCAACAAATTCACTGTCTTGGTAAGTTAGTTAATCAAGTAATGTATTCTGCATATTTTTAAGTCAATAATCTCAATATATGAAAGAAATTGATTTTTTTTTAGCATTTCTGTTATTCATTATTTAATGTGTCATGCTTTTAAAATTTTGTATGTACCTACATTTGTATTTATTATTTTATGGTTAATAAACTGTTTTGTGCATTAATATGCATATCTTACAAATTCAATTACATGTATATTTTAAATTTCTACACATAAATAATGAATATTCACAATTGAAACTTTAAAAACCTACTCGTATTTATTATTTTAATTATACCCAATAATGACATTTTAACATCTACATCTATATATAAAATCCAGTGGATAATGATTTTAAGTAACTGTTAAATTATAGCTCATTAGTATAATTTTACACAAACAACCTATTTAGAGGACAATAAGAAAGAAACCATAGAGATTCTAATTAATTGATCTCTTTTTAAGTAATTACAGAGGTACTCAAAATGCAATTTTGTATGCTCAAACAACTAATAATAATAAGATTAGATATTTAATAATGATGAGAGGTTTATACTATATCACTAGGACATAATTTCCTGGCCTTCCCTTTTTATAACTGCTTACAAGACTTAATACAACTAGACATGACAGAAACTTTTGTACAACCCTCTTCTTCAAGGGAGATAACTTTGATCCAGCATCTGCTGGCATTACATGACAAGGCTGTTCTAGAAATAATCCATATCAGTAAGTCTGGGAGAATCTTTTGTTTAGAGTGTATCAAGCATTTTAATCTAGGATACAAAGCATAAAAAAGTTAATACTTTTATAACATTACAGGGGACCACACTGCTTTTACACTTTGTACATGAAACTAAGCTGACATTACACAGACATGCATTACCTCTGTGATGCCAGACAGATCTCTAAAGATTGTCTAACAACATTGATTTAATTCTTTAATTCTTATCCTTAACAAGGGAATTACACAGTATACTCATGCTGTGAAAGGGACAGATAATCATTCAAACTAATAGAAATCTTATTGTATATGTTTTTACCTTTTATTCACTTGGCAAATGTTTTAATGACACAATAATTCTTTGTAGATGAGTATACTACCCAACTGACAAAACAAGCCATTACTGCCATGAAGACTGGAAACAAGGGGAAAGCACTCCAGCTGCTGAAACACCGATGTGTGGCAGACGGAATCAAACACATGTACCGTCAGTATCGACAACTCAAGTGGACTCAAGCTCGGAGGCTTGCTCTCAGTGTGGCCAGTACAATCAACCCCAACCTTCCCCTCCCTCATCGCCCCCATGACAACCAGGAAGGAGTGGAGGAAATTCAGGTGGAAAAATATGCACAGACAATGATGGTGGCCCAGTGTAACTTTAGTCGGAACAGTTAAACATCAACAATGATGGTGGCCCAGTGTAACTTTAGTCGGAACAGTTAAACATCAAAATTGAGGGTGGCCCAGTAACACTTACTGGAACAATTAAATATGGAACAGAAAATGACAGTGGTCCAGTAACGTTTGTTGGAACAGTTAATTATCAAACAGAAATAATGGTGGTCGTCATATTTGTCAGAATGATGAAAGTGGCTCAATACTACTCAATACAATACTACTAAGTGGAGCATCTAAATATTACATCAATCATGGTTGCCCAGTGTAATTTCAGTCAAAGCAGCTAAATTTACCGCTGTGATAGAAAAAGTCGAGTGAGGAATCCAGAATCTACCTCGAGATATTTTTGAAATTTTAATGTAACTGCTATTGATGTGATTACTTTAAGTTACCTACTTTAAATGTCTTTAATTAAACAAAATTTTTGTATGAAGCTGTTGTACACTGTTCAAAACAGTGCTAAAAATTGTAAATAGTGTCTAATAGCTGCATAAATTTGTGCTGAATGTTTTAATTTGGTAGTGCTTGAATAAAACTTGTCTGATGTTAACTGATTTGCTTGCTCATTCTAATTTCAAAGTAAGATTATAATATGGGTTCTAATGTCAGAGTTTGAAAACACACAGTGAAACATGAATTTGGACTTAGATACCATATATTGTATACTTGAACAGACAAATGGATGATTACTGGTAATAAGTCCAGCTGGTTTTCACCAGAAGCACTTACAAATTAGATTAAAACCCTTTGGTTTAAAAAAAACCCCTTAAATTAACAGAAAGATTAACATTAAGTGGAGAAAAAGATTCTACATACACGTTACTGTAAGGTCCAATGTAAAACTGGGCACATTAATATTAATGATTACTTGTTTGTGTTACCAGTTCATCTGTCCTCACTTCTATGGTGGCCAGTCTTTGACATTGGTCCCCTTTATGGTAGATTACCTACCTTATCCAATGGTTCATCCTTCACACTGATCTCCCCCTCTCGATGAGTGAGTTTCCTTGTTGCCTCCGGAGATGTACTGCGCTTCTTCTTATCTGGGGTTTTGGATCTGGACTTTCTACTTGATTAATAGAAAATGTATCAAAAAATCATTTTTTATAGTAAACATTTCAATCCTATGCTCCCTTTATCAAAGAAGTAAAAAATTACAATTTTATTGAATGTTCTCAGCAAATTCAGAGGATAACATAGAAAGTCACAGATTCTAAAAACTTATTTTGAAAAGTTCCTTACTTTCTGTCTCTAGACCTTGACCTCTTTGACCTACGTCTATCCCTGGATCGTGACCTTCTTCTATCCCTTGATCTTGACCTCCTTCTTTCACGAGATCGAGATCTTTTCCTCTCTCGAGATCTGGATCTTCGAGACCTTTCACGAGATCTTGATCTTCTGGGACGACTCCTTGATCGACTACGTCTCTTTCTCTCCCGTTCACGTGAAACACTCCGAGAGCGTGATCTTCGTCTGTATGACCTAATGATTTAAGGTATGTCACTCGTCAGACTTTTAGAAAATTTCAGTCAGAACCTCTTACTTAAAAACTATTTATTACAATTCAATCTTTATAACATATTTAAATTAAACAATGTAAAATGTTCAACTTTCAATTAAAAAACTGCTCAAAAATTCACAAAGAAGCAAGATTTATAAGGGACTATTTCTTGTGGCGGAAGGATATTTAGCAGAAAATTCTGCAAATCTACACATTTATTAAATTTAATATCTTGGAACTTTAGCCTCACATACTTTTACTCAGAGAATATTTTCCGTTATGATATGCCTGGAATATTCAATATAGGTCTCAATTTATATTTTTATAACAAAATTTACACCTTCGCTCAACAAACATTGCCAAGAAATGAAGATATATTAAGGAAGTCGAGATAAAATTTACACAGTTTTTTGCCTGAAAATCGCATATTTTGACCAATATTTCAAAATTTACATCACTGACCCCAACTTTTTCTTTCATTATTTTAAACTACTCAATACTTTTGACCGATCAGCACTTAAGTCGTAAAAAGTTTGATACAAGAATATATTCTACTGCCTATTTAGATTTTTAATACCCCACATGAGACTTTTTTTAGTGCAAAAAGGTCACACAATAATTTCTGCGCATTAATTTGCATGATTTGTTCAATGATAAATATTATTCAAACTATTTTACGTAAAATAAGATTATGTTTTTTGCCATGGTTACATCTTATAAAATATGATAACGTTAAAGTGATTAACCAAAAGTTACAATTCAAGTGCAAAAAGGTCAACTTAATTGTACCGCAGTTAGATGCACACTGACCCCCCATTTTCTCTACGATTTTGAGTCATACTGTGTGAGTACTTATCCAAAATATACTTCTCAAAAAATCCTTGATATAACAAATTTCACGAGTGACATACCTTAAGAATTGATAAGGATAAATAGAAACATAGTGTCTTGATAATCTAGATACTAATAATCTGGATACTTTACCAGCCAGAATACATTTTTGTGGGAATCAATATTTGAGAGTGTAATTATGAATCAACACCCCAGAAGTATCTACATGTATTTTACATAATTATATGTGCATATGTAGATAGAACATTCTATCGTTAAAATGATCTTGTCCTACAGACCCGGTTTAACGATAGAATTCATTCCGTGTATTGGCAATGTAGCAAAATAAACATGGGCGATAACTTGAACTCAGTGCATTTACTATGATCAATCCAGAGAGTTCCGAATGTGAACATGGCATGTAGATTTGAAGCGAGAAAAAACGTTGAGAAAATGAGTTGAATTTTCGTCTTTATTTCAATTATTTTTTTGGTTAAAAGGCATATACAATCTCAAAAAGGTTTGTTATGATTAATTTGGTAGTTATTTTCAATGCAATTCCTTTTGTATACTTCAAAATTATTTCGGAGCGGATCAGCTCCGACTTGCTACATTGCAAGTATATGGGACATATTCTAACTGTGGTGAGGGCTTGTCCCAAGACACAGTTAGATTATTCTAACTAGTGTATATGTTGGAACAGTCAATTACTGCTACACAATATTTCTCATGAAAGGAACTCATCAAACAAGATAGCAATTAGATCAGCCAAGGCATTATAGGTGTAAATTGTCATATATATATCAACAGTTTTCATAATATTTGTGACTTTTTGACTACTTCTTACCAAAAAACCCCCCATTTTTGTGAAAAACTGCATATAAATACTTTATCAAGCTATTCTAAATAGCTTAATAAAGCAATTCTAAATAGCTTAATAAAGCTATATAGCTAAATCAAGCTATATAGCTTATTGCTGCTTAATCAGAAGATTGTGCCGGACCCGATCAAAGCACTACGTTGGGGCAACGATCTTAAACGCACCCAGACTCTGAACCAAACAAAGATGTTTCGTTCTCATTATTAGTTGCATCGTTTGAAATCTATAATTCTTTCAAAAAATGCTTAAGGAAAGAATATCAACGTATTCACAAACCTTCCTTCTCTTGGCATCTTCTCCGACAGGGTAAGTACGTTAGTACATGTAAAATACAGCTTTTAAACCCTGCATGAATTTTCATGGAGTAAAACGCACAAGGGATCTGATTTTATTTACAAATCAGAACCGGAAGTACCATGTGGTAAACACTGAATGTGAACTGAAAAACTCACAGGTATAATATTCCAGAAGTTCTGCCTTTGTTATCGTTGTATACAAACACACTAATTTAAATGTGCAAATGTTACAATTGGTATGTCAAAAAAAATATTTCATTACAGGTCTGTATGGATTTTTTACTAGATTTAGAGGAGGGGGGGTTGGGTTAATTGTTTGTGCCATTTAATATTATCGTATATGTTTTGGCAGGAAATCTTAGAATGTCCTCTGATTTCTGAATTGATTTATACTTGCACATGGACAATTATTTTGTTGTTGTTGTTGTTTTTGTGTGATTACTGCTTCTTCATAATAATGGCATGTTGAAATACTAATGTATTCAGTATAATTTACCTTTTAGTGTGAAGAATGTCCAGAGGAGGATTCAAGAGTAATTATGGAGGGGGTGGAAGAGGAGGCGGGGGTTTTAGGGGAGGAGGAAGAGGAGGAGGATTCCGGGGCGGTGGAGGTTAGTAGCCTTTTTGACATATAAATTTCATATCAGCTAGTAGCATAGTTATAGTTACAGGTAGTTAGCAGTTTATCTTGTTTTAATACTAAGAGTTTTAGATCTGGAACTTTTCAGAATATGTATGTTATCTTAGAATAATAGAGAGGTTAAGCAGATGACCGTGTATGTGTACGCGTACGTGTAGCTAGGGAAATCCCCTTATTTACTGCGATTTACTTCATCAGTTTTGCATACCTTGTAATTCTACAAGTTTTACACAACCTGTAGATTTATAAGTACACAGAGGTAAGAACGTGTAGCTTCTTAAACTCAAATCATAGAATATATATTTTTCAGGTGGTGTTCGTTGTTATGTTGAGAGTTTATTACATACATCTATGTATCTTTTTTCAATCAAAGTCATAGATTATTTGATAAAAATGGATTGTAAAGTGACTGATCGAAATGACGTTTTACACGTAACAGTACACATACAGTTTTTTAAACAGAACACGATGTTAGTTATGCGTACTTGTAAAAACACTTCTAGGTTAACACATACATGTATACGCACACAGTCAAATGCTTAACCTCTGTATTATGAATATAAAAACATGATCACCATCTTTGGCCTTGTGAATAATACAATAACAATACTTGTAGGAGGAAGAGGTGGGGGGAGAGGAGGATTTGGAAACAAATATGACCAAGGCCCTCCAGAAACAGTTAAAGGTAATTAACATGGTAAAAACAGAGAGTAGAATTCCTTTTACAGTCTACATGTCTACCTATAAGTTTCCTATAACTTTAAACTTCAGCTAATTTTAGTCAATATTATTCAAAAATGGATCTCATAATTTGCTCAGAACCTAGCTGTTAAAATATGAATACCTATTCATATACACAGCCTAGAAAATGATTAAATTTGACTTTATGATATCTTAAAAAAAGAGAAAGTAGATATTCAGATATCATCTCCAGTAATCTTACATGATACACATGATGTATGAACACTGATTTTCAGAGCTTGGGGAGTATGTCCACCCTTGTGAAGATGATCTGGTCTGTATCAGCACTATAGAGGATGTTCCACATTTCAATGCTCCTATTTTTCTAGAAAACAAACAACAAATTGGTAAAGTGGATGAGATCTTTGGTTCTATCAGAAATTTTGTATCCTTTTTTGAGATTTCTGTTTCAAGTATGAATTAAAGTTTATTGTTTTGGATTTATAGTGATGTATGTTTCTGGCAATAGATAATAATTCTGTTATATTTTTCTTTCCGTGACTTTTCCCTTAACCTTTTTGCAGTACTTCTCTGTAAAATTATCAGAAAATATGAAAGCAAAATCTTTTTCCAAGAGCACAAAGGTAAGTACTCCTAACACATGTAGGTAAAGTACTCCTATTATATGTAGGTAAAGTACTCCTATTATATGTAGGTAAAGTACTATTACATGTAGGTAAAGTACTCCTATTATATGTAGGTAAAGTACTCCTATTATTTGTAGGTAAAGTACTCCTATTATTTGTAGGTAAAGTACTACATGTATTACATGTAGGTAAAGTACTCCTATTACATGTATAGGTAAATAATTGACATTTTTGCACAGCCAGAAAGTTCCAGTATTGTCTGAATCAGTATAAAAAGACTGAATAATAACTTCTGAGGAGTTTTTATCATTAAGCTTAAATGATTTGGGGAGGGGGGGGGTTTACAGTATGCAGATTTTAAGTAGTAGTGACGTTTTATTAAAAAAAAAAAGATAACTCTAACCATTGTAAAGTAGCTTTTTCTGTAGATTTAGATTATAAGCGTTTAATTCTAATTTATATATTCATTGACAGTTATTTATAGATCCCTACAAGTTGTTACCACTACAGAGATTCCTTCCTAAGCCCCCGGGGTCAGGAGGAGGGCGAGGTAGAGGGGGAGGAAGAGGAGGAGGGGGGCGTGGTGGGGGCAGAGGACGAGGAGGTGAGGACTATTTTAAAAATCTTTAATGACTCCTGAACTGTCAAGCACATGTAGTTTGGTTAACTTACTAATTTTTGTCAGATAACTTTGAAACAGAGAAACTTCAATAGCTCATACTAAGGTAGCCTGTGACCAGAGGAGTGTCACAAGCTTGATATGCAAATTATACATTTATATATCGATAATTGTTTGTGTGCATACTTTTGGAATTCCATCCTGTAATATATTGAAATGAAAATTAACTTGTTTTTATATCTATTTTTACAGGTGGGCGAGGAGGTGGTGGTGGTTTCCGGGGTCGCGGTGGAGGGGGAGGGTTCAGAGGTCGTGGGGGAGGAGGAAGGGGTCGAGGGGGATTTAGGGGGAGGTAACTCCAGTGTCAGATGTGGACTTCTGGGAAATGTACATTGTGATTATTTCATCCATCATGTCATAGAGACAATTTTTTAATGGTCTACTGAATATGTGTTCATTTGTTAAACTACAGGTATATGATGATGTTCATGTATTTTTAAGTGTTTCTTTATCCCCTGGAACATGTATCTCAATAAATAGTACAATACAAACACTCTGTAATGTGTATGTGATTTTTAGGTCAGATGCAGATTATGTCAATAAATGAATATACACACCCTCCATGATGAGTAAATGATTTGTTGGTCAGTATAGTAGGTCAGCTGAAGGTTATGTCAATATAAAATGGTTATACATAGCCTCAAATGGGTGTAAGTGTAGTTGAACTGATTCATTAATGAACCTAGATGAGTGAAAAACCACCAGATTCATTATAAAATGTATAAAGTTAGTGTTTAAGATACCCAAGGTCAACTGTATTTTGATGAAAAAGAAAAAAATGTTCAAAAAATGCCTCCCATGTGACTATACTTGTATTAAAAAGGATCAACTTTAGAATGTCTGTAATGATACTGAAAAAAGGGTTATCTATGAATCAAAGGTAAAGATAATTTGAAGTTTGCTCCATCAGGCCACAATATCATAAGGGGTCATGATTAAGGGTATCTACTTCTTAAGAAATTGACCTGTGACCTCAAATTCATTAGGGTCATCTACATTAAGGGGAACCACTGTGCATAGTTTGATTCAGACAACAAAAGGGTTCTTAATATACCGAGTGGAAAATATCTTCCTATTTCTTGATAAGTGTGACCTCAAAATCAGTTGGTGTCATCTACTCCTTAGGGGAACCAGTGTATCAATTTTGAAGTGTGTCAGGCTGTTGTATGCTTGTATGGACATCCATTGGATTTGTTAAAATTTCTGCCAATTTAGGTTGATAAATCTATCTCAAATGACTAGTCACACTACTAGTAGCGATGTGTAACATCAAAGTTATGGTTACTGGTTCCTAGTCACATAATCATTAAAAATAACTTTAGATTTTAAGAAAAACATCATTTTCATGGTAAATCTTTGGCAGAGCTGACTTACTACCAGTCAGCATGTCTAGCCAATTTTCAGTGAGTCTCAAACACTGGTCAAGCAAAGGGTAAGGTACTGACTGTTCAATATCTTCCTATGTCCAGGTTGACCCTTGAACTTTGACCTTGTGACCTCAAAATTCAAAGGATCCACAGACTACTACTTAGGGGGAAACCAGTGTACCAAGATTAATGTCTGTCAGGCAAAGGGTTCTCAAGATATTGAGTAGTCAAAATCTTCCCATGCCCAGTTTGAAACTGATCTTTGACCTAATGACCTCTTAATCAATGGGTGTCATCTACTCCTTAAAGTAAAACGAAGTGTCAAGTTTGATGTCAATTAAGCAAAAGATTCTGAAGATATAGAGTGGATGATCTCTTCCTATGTCTCGAGTATTTTGACCTTCAATCTTATGACCTCAAAATCAATAGGGGTCATCTATTCCTAAGGGGGAAGCAGTGTACAATGATGTCAATCGGATAAAAGGTTCTGAAGATTTTGATCAGACAACACTTGGTCTACCAATGACCGTGCAAACCAACATGAGCAGGTGGCACTCATAGTTGCCCGTGAATGGATCTGCTCTAAAAACTTTAAATTGGTTGCTCAAATGAGAAGAGGTCCATGCAATGCATGCATGAGCCTCACCGATTACCTGAGCATCATGAGTTTCTCTCTTTGGACCCACATGGAACTAGGAGTCTTGACTCATGCGAGCAAAATTTTAGTTGGGTGAGGACTCTAAAAATCATTATCATACATATAGTCATGCACTTGTCTCCTTAAAGTTTAGGAGTAAAGATGATTAGGCACATTGTGTGATAAATTCAATATAGGACCAACTTAACCACAACCTGAGACCTGCACAATGGACCAGAGGTCCATGATATTTTTGGTAGATGGCTAAGTGTTTATTATAATCATGTAAAAAAATTCTACTAGATGTTCTCGAGATTGTCAATAATGTTATATACTCTCAATATGTATGACCAACTTAGCCCCATCCCTAAGGCCTGAATGCTTTACTTTCAATTGCTGGAATTTTACAATTTCAGTTTTTTGGTAGAGGGCTCAGTGCTTATTAGCTGCAGAACTGTAGTGTTATGGTTTTCTATTTTAGTCTTTGACTATAACGCTACAGATCCCGTAATGCAGATATAGTGCAATTTACGGCGCGAGATTTTCTGTGCATGTTTGGGGAGAATTTCTCCACTTTCCAGCATTGGTCAATCAACTACTTTTCACTCTCTAATTCTAGACATATTTTTAAACTAACCTGTATATTTTATCAACCTCCTAACCCTTCATAGTTGTCTCTACAGACCACTTAACTCGCTTGTTTTGACTTTTTGTCGGATGGCAGAAAATTCAAAACAAGCGAGTTTATTGGTCTGTAGAGATAACTATAAAGGGTTAGGTGGTTAAAATATACAGGTTGGTTAAAAAATATCTCTAGAATTAGGGAGTGAAAGGTACTTGATTGACCAATGCTGGAAAAAGGGAGAAATTCTCCCCAACAGTGCCCAGAAAATCTTGCACAGTAAATTGCACAATATTTGCATTACCAAATCTGTAGCGTTATGGTCAAAGACTAAAATATCGATATAAAACCCACAATCCTCTGACCTCGCCAGGGCAGATGCTATGAAATTCACAGTTTTTGTTCCCCTTTACCCAGATGCTGTAACAGTATACATGTACCAAAATCAGTTAAAATCAGTTCAGCCATTCCAATGTACACAAGTCTACAAACAAAAAACAACTGTCAGATACCGGTGGGTCACCTGAGTGATTCAATGGAGCTAAAAATGCATGGTAAGTCAGTGCGGAAGCAAGTCTTGTAATATGCATCATCATACAAACTTGGTACTGGCAGGGCTTAAAGTTTATAAAAGATTTCTGAAGAAAAAAAAAAAAAAAAAAAAAACATCACACAATTACAAATTTTATTCCAATTTCTTTCATATAAAATAACATGTAAAACTTAATTAAAAAATCAAATTTTTGGAGGGGAGAAAAGCAACATTAAATGTCAAAGTCCTTCATAATTTCAAATTTTATACATATTGTATTTTTATAAAATCTTTTTGACTTTCACATACTGTTCCGAAAAAACATTTATAAAACATAGCGATGCATATAAATTACCCTCCTTTTTCTATACAATCTTAAAAAATGATCATGTATGCCCAGTCAAGTATTCAATAGATCTCAACCTTTTTAAACTTAAATTTCATTATTTCAGTTATTCTCAAGAATACATGCCCAAAATGTGTTTTGATTATGCAGACTAGTCTAATGTCCATTTCCAAAGTCGTACACATTTATACAACTACAAATGTAGCCTATCTTGTATTATGACGAGTGTTTTCCTACTTTGGTTTATCGACCACCAATAGGGCTGCCTGAAAAACAGAGCTTCATTACATAAGGACTTTTACCCGATGGGTTTGGTATCGATGCATGATTTGCTAATGCTAGAGCATTTACTGCTTCTTCTACATCTTTGAATTGGACTAATCCTGATGAACTTCGGGCACTAGTGTTGGGAAATTGTTTAATTTTCTCTGGACACTCTGCTCCCATATTAGTGAATACTTCCTCCAAAACTTTCTCTGATAATTCTGGAGGAACATTAAAGTAATGTAGAACTTTTGTTGGTGCCATGATTCTGTTTTTGCTAGCTTGTTCAGGATTTGCGTATCGATTGTTTCTGCTGCCCATAAAGTCTTTAAAAGATGGAGTACCATCAGGTAACTCGTAAGGATTTGGAACATCTTGTAAAAATGCCTGTTTAGAAACTGCAAGTGACAACTTATTTCCAAACAATGTGATGTGACTGAGATTCTGTATGCTTCGTTCCACAGCAAGGGAGTCTCCCATCTGCACCATAGCAGACCCTTCCTTGCTCTTAAGAAACTTCACTCTTGCAACATTTCCATACAGACAGAAAATATTAAATAATCTGTCACAGTTAACATACTCTGGATTCAAACCATACACCATGAGTACTGCTCCCTGTATCATGGCCCCGGGAGGTGGTCCACCCTGGTCTTGATATCCATGTGGGGGCATTGGTCTTCCATAACCACTCTCATCATGCATTGGTGGGGGTGGTCCAGGTTTCCTCCCAAATCCTTCCTGTCCATATCCTCCCTGCCTCTGTGGCATTCCTCCATATCCCTGATTGAAACCATCACCTTGGTCATACATCCCCCCGCCAAAGCCCCCTCCTTGGTAGCCCTGGTAACCTTGATTTGGAGCTCCGTCTCTTCCATACCCACCGAATCCGCCCTGACCCCCAGGCCCTGGTCTCCTATTGTAGGGAGCATTTCCACCTCCAGGCTCTGGTAGAAGGGGCATGTTTCTGGCTGGTGCTGCCTCACTGTTCAAGTTTGGGTTAGTGTAATCCCAGCTGTTCTGATCATTTTTAAAAACATTTAGTTTATCTGTTTTGGCATACTCTATCTTAAGGGTATTACAGTCAGAGTAGATATCGGCACCATTTAAAGCTTGCTTAGCTCGTTTAGCTGAATCTACATTATCAAATTCTACCATGCACTGCAAACCACTCTTCCTAAAGATGACAATACGCACTACTTGGCCATAGGGACTGCATATGGTGTGCATGATGTCCACGGTGACTGGGTACTGTGGATTTAAGACCGTAACCAACAAAATGTGATTTGTTGGTTTGTTATCATCTTTAGGACCTGGTCTTTGGATGCGCTGGCTGGTAGAATAGTTAAAATAAGCCGGCTGCCCAGCAACAAATATCTGGCTTTCATTTGAGAAATTCACGCAGTCTGTGGCACCTTTAATTTCTTCAAATTCAATCAAAGCTTGATGTTTCTTTGGCATGAGCACAACATAGTTGACTGTTCCAAACTGCTGCACAGCTCTGGTCAAATCCCTCTCCATAATGTTGTCATAGAGACCTCTCACATGGACAACTGGTGAAGGTGACGGTTTGATCGGGTCCTCACTCGATTTGTCCATCCGCATACGTTTGGAAGCATGATCTTCATAACCAGATGCCATGGTTTCACACTAATAAACAATCTACAATCAAGAGAGTTTTATTCAATAAGTTTTCTCTTTATCACTATTTGCAGTCGATTTTTTGTTCTTCTACCAATTATTTACTATAGATGAAATGAAGTACTGTATAAAAGGTTATTTTCGACCCATGTTATATTCGCCCTTTCACATTTACAATTTTGCCCCGTCATAGTTCTGTTTAAGAAATTAAACTGTGTTCTTTGAATTTGCCCTGTTTTAAACTCGCCCACTTGTGAGTAGGGTGAAAGGGGTGAAAAAAAAACAGGGGCGGAAATATACCTGTATACAGAAATGAAAATAGGATATACAGAAATCTGTTTAATCAAAAAAGCATTTATTTAATTAAATCTGCTTAATATAAAGTATATATATATATATTTACAATAATGAATATAGAAATTCAATTAAAATCTTTTTGCATATTATTCAATATGTTTGGAATATTTAAGTCTCTTTAGGACCAATGTCGAGGACTGAAAGAACAAGAGGCCCAAGGGCCTTACCGGTCACCAGTAGAATAGTACATTAGGGTACTGTATATGGGGAAAAAGGTGAAAGCAGAGTTTAAAGCAAGAAGGAGTCCAAGATGGCATCCTCCCTTGAATTGTTTTCAGTATTTAGTATACAATTTTTTAAAAATTTTATAACACATCAGGAGCAAGCCCCTATTCTCTTTAAAGAAGTGGACAGGCTTTCACCTACATCCACTTCTCTTTGCAAGCTTTCATGTTTTGATTCTGGAAGAACTTTATCATTTATAAATGCATACAACAGTCACATGAAAATCAACACTTACTCATTTTAATCAATTTTATAAGTCCTCCATCCTAGATTTAAACTAGAGGTACTGTGAGCACTGAGCTCACAAAATGATACCCCCCCCCCCCCCCATCCCAAAAACTGCATTTCTTGAAAAGTGCATTTTTGACATTATGTAAATAAGATTCTGTAAAATTTCCATTGAAATTTAATCTGGGGTTTAGGAGAAATTGCATTAACAAAATGGGTTTCCCTTTATCGAGTATAATGGCGAAGTCTATGTTTTGCTTTTGGGAAACCCCAAAATCTGTCTTATCAAAATGTAAAATAGGTGCACAATTGCACTATGTAAAAAAGATTCTGTCAAAGTCTCATTAAATTTTATTCAGTGACATAGGAATAGTTGCAGATAAGAGATGGGTGCTCTCAATATCATAGAAAGAATGGCATAGTGAAAACCTTAAATATCTGTCTGATCTCATAGGAAGTACACAACAGCACTGTGTAATAAAGATTCTGTGAAAGTCTCATAAAATTTTATTCAGTGGTATAGGAGGAGTCTGGGATAAGAGATGGGTACCTTCAAGTGTAACGGACAGACATCCCCATCACTATACATCCCCTGCTTTTCATGCCATGGGTATAATAATAAATTTTATTAAAAATATGAACTTAGAAATATATGTTTAATGTTTAATCAAAAGTAGAATGTCCCGAAATTACCTGACCTAGAATTTTCATTTTTTTTTCTAAATATTAAGCTGCAGTAGGCAATAAACATTACTTCAAAGCTGAGACGAAGAACTTGTGAAAATGGATTAACAACTATTGGGTGTTGATTTTCTTGTGACAAATATGTATAATTTACTAGTATGTGAAAGTTTTAGTAGTAATGTCTGATGCATAAATTAAGGCATATAATATCTACACTTTAACAGACATTTTGATTCAAATAATATTTGAATCAAAATGTCTGTTAAAGTGTAGATTGTCACCGGTTCCACATTCATATTTTCCAGAATCAAAACATAAAGGCTTGCAAAGAGAAGTTGATCATGTTGATGTAGGCAAAAGCTTCTCCACTTCTCTAAAGAGAACAGCAAGAGCCTAGCCCATGTGATCTCTACCTGTCAGGGGTGAGACTGAAATCCACCATTCTGAATCATCACATTTACTATGTATTTTCATCATTTTTGTCAATATGACTTACCATCATCATATTTTTATTTTTTAACTGAATTCTTCTACCCCTGTCAGATATAAGTGAGTTTTGAAATTAGAGCTGAAAGAAGAGTGTTTATGCAAGTTTTATTTCATCCAGGTCACTTAGGACTATGTGCATTAGAAGATCAACATGGAAGGTGAAAGCTTTTATTTTATAGGATATATATATGTGTAAAGAAATATCTCGACAATAGCTTAAACCATAAGAGGTCCATAGGCCACAATGCTCCCTCCTCCCCCCCCCCCCCCCCAAGTGTCAAGAATTGAACAAACTTGAATCTACTAGGGCTGTGTATTGAGCAAAATATTTCAATAGGGATGGGTATCGGCAAAAATTTCGTATCGTGATATATCACGATTTTTTTCCCCAAAATATCACGATAAATCGTGATATTTTTACACGCAGTTTTTACTACAATTTCAAATGAATTTCTGTAATATTTCTTGAAAATATGGCTATAAAAACATAACTTTACTTTTTAAATTTTCATTTATTTAATATAAAGCATGTTTTTATACCATTGTTTAACTGTTTTCAACATTTTTTACACTTCCTGTAATTGTCATTCAATAGTTTGAACAAATAAATGAATAATTTCCGGAATTTATAGTTATGTACCAAATACCGGTATTTTAGTCTCCGTATCACGATACGTATCACGCAATAAAAAATCGCGATATACCGGTATACCGATAAAATCGCGCATCCCTATATTTCAATACGATACGATATGATATTTTATAAAGGGATATGCGATATATTGGATTATTTATTAAGTCTTTCAAAAATGTCTTGTAAATGACATTTAATGGATTGCATAAATTTGATTAGCTGCAATAATGTAGCCCTCTCCAATTTTTTTTTTTTTGGGGGGGGGGGGAGAGGGCTACAACTCCTTAGGATCTCCGTAATGGTGCAAGTGCGGGAGTGATTCACTACCGCACAGATTTCGGCCCAAATTATCAGTAAGTGGGTATTTTATTAACATATCTTACCTGAACTCATAAAATGTAGTTATGCAAGACATGAATTGATCCAAAAATATACAAAATAATCCGTATATCGGTTATTTTTCATGTATGTCAACATCACAACTTGAATTTATCCGCCATGTTTACTGACCTTGATCGATTTTATTTTGGGACAACCAATGAGAATTCGGGATCAAGGGGAGCGGATCTTTTAGGAATTCCCTTATTTTAAGCATAAATATTACTGTTTATGAAAAAAATTCCACATGGAATGCTTTTATTTATCGAAGTTTAGTGATACCTTATAACACAATCATTTATCAACACCGACATTTACGTTATCAAGTGATTCTAAAATTCAAGCGCAAGTCTCAGTACGTCACGCGAGAACTGTCATGGCTGCGGAAGAGAACGGCTGGTAAAGACGCAGATTTATTTTACTTGGTTTTCGCGTATAAAGGGCTATGATGTTGATAGTGAATAAAAATTCCGTCTTATTGGAAGTAAGTTGTATGTAAAAACAATTTATTTTGCCTGCAGTCGCCCGTATCTAAAAAATATATTTGCACCATTACGGAGATGCAGTGGAATTGTAGCCCTCTCCTGAAAATATCAGATTAAAAAAAATTGGAGAGGGCTACATTATTGCAGCTAAAATTTGATAAAAACTGGGTGAGTCTAACATAACATGTTAAAATATAGTTGTCTATGTATTTTGTAATAGTTATTTAAGATGTGCTATCTCCTTGATGTTTATTTCATTATTGACCAGTTTTAATTCAAAACAGTTAAAAATAATCTTTGGTAACTGAAATTCCCAACTTTTTTACAGAATTATAAGGAAAACTGCCTGTCCGATATGTATTGGAAGTTATTTTTTCGATACGATACATTCCTGAATATCGATACGTATTGAATATTCGATATATTCACACAGCCCTAGAATCTACACATCTGAGGACGTTCCATATTCATATGACTAATCATGGCTTTGCTGTTCTTGAGAAGATTTTTAATGATGTGGCCCCAACCTACTCCTATGTAAAACTTTGATGCCCCATTGTGGCCATACCCTATTCCCGAGGGTCATGATTTGAACAAACTTGAATGTACATTACCAGGCTGAGGATGCTTCCATATTAACATAAATAATCATGACTAATCATGGTTTTGCTGTTCTTGAAAAAAAAAGATTTTAAAAGATTTCTTCCTATATATATTCCTATGTAAAACTTTAGTCCCCCATTGTAGCTCAGGCCTTATCCCAGGGGACATGAGTTGAACAAACTTAAATTTACAATTTTCAGACATCCTCGCAAGCCATGGGTTCTGAGTCAACATGTTGCCGTTGGACCCCTGGCATATTTCATTCAATATTTGTGGGATGACTGTAGCGGCGTCTTTCAGAAAATTACAAATCTTGATTGTTTTTCTTATCTCTCAACCAATCACATTAAGCCATTCTATGATAAACAACTTGTAACACGTGCATTTGAGGTGTCAACTGAATCCTTATCTAACTAATTATAAAAGCTTTAATTTGATTGGTGCTTCTCAATGAGAGAAGCAAGCCCACGAATATTGAATGAAATATGCCAGGGGTCCAACGGCAACATGTTGACTCAGGACCCCTGGCTTGCGAAGATGATTTTCAGAATGTGCCAGCTACTATAATAGGCTGGAATAATCTACCATTCTATATATCGTCGTATACCCTAAATTCGTCCGTACCCTAAAATCGTCCTCAAACTTGACGCAGCCCGCACGTTTCGAACTATGTATCGATGACGTCACTTTTAATTGTTATGACTGGTAAACACAATGATGCAAATGTGTTAGCAATTATTTTTTAGAATATGCAGTTTAAACTCGTGGTAAAATTAAAGAAAAATAAAAATCCTTAAACTATCTGTTTTTCCTTAGGTCCATTTTTTATTGAAAGTGTACACGGCAGTTACGTTCCCAAAATCACTTCCAGATCAAATTTACCTTCATTTTATTATTTTATACCTCTCAATGTATTGAATTACGTGCATGGGCTTTTAATTTAAGAATTTGAAAACAAAAATTTAATGCTCCCCAATCATAAGGATCTTATACACTTTCCACCTAGAAATTGACGTTACCCGTGTTTGGTTGACGTACTATGCGGTATTACAAATTATTTCAGAAAAAAATCTAAGTCATCACTGCAAATTATAGAGTCTCCAAAAATCAAAGATTTTATGAGAAACTTTTACTAATAACTGTGAATGCTTCCAACAATAGAATTTCTGTTGGTCTTACAAAAATTAAACATTTTATATCATGCTGGTGTTTTTCTTTTTTCTTTCATTTGTGTGTGTGTGTGTGTGTGTGAGTGTGTTTTGTGTGTGTGTGTGTGTTTTGTTTGTTTGTTTGTTTTTGTTTTTTATAACTGAGTTGTATATAATCGAGATTTTTTTCCTCCAGGAATATGTTATTAAAATGACAAATAAATAAAATCAATATTTATCGTACGTAAGAATTTAATATAACCCCCCACCTCCACCCTTAAAAAAATCAATCTTTCAACATACCCAAGCAATGATGATCACAATGTTTAAATAGATCTACTTTTGACCTAGCTCACTTGCTCAGTCGCCAGTCCTGTTCAATACCCCCCCCCCCCCCTTCACAAAAAAGTCTAAAAGTAGTCAAGTGATTAAGAAGAGAATATTTCATTTTTATATACCAAAAATTTATTTTATTAAACAGTAGTTTTATTTTGTCGACCAAAGAAGGTGTATTTTTGTCACAATTTTTACCAGTTTCACAGGTGCTATGTGCATTGATGCATAACTAATCCAGAGATCGTCTTTACTGGGGTATGAAATTCACGACATATTGATAATCTAGTAAAACAAGATCTTTACTGCCAATCTTTAATTAATTTCTCATCTACTACACAGTAGTTAAAAAGTTTTTTTTTCTTGTAACGTGAATATTTTACATATTATAATTAGGTGATCAATTTCAAGTCTACGTCGTAACCCCAACCATTAAATTAAAATTTTCTGATTTTTCCAGATTGTGTCGGTCAGACTTGCACTGTTCGAATATATTGATTTTCTTATCTATCGGTTTTTGCCAGTAAGGCAAATGAATTTGGGAAAATCTGAAATATACATGTAACATTGTATAATTCGCATATCAGGTAATTTGATGAGCATGTATTGTAATGACATCGTTGACAATGTAAATCTGAAAGCACATTCTTATTTCTTAAAAAAAAAAAAACGGAGTCGGTAATAGCTAAAGCAATTGAATGTTCTTAAATTGATAAGAATATTTTTAAAAAAAATACCTTTTGCACAGAAGAACTTTATTTACAATTTTTATTTTAATGATTTTCCACCTTTTTTTTTTATCACAAATCACGAAAAACAAATGGACCAATCGCTTGCGTCCGTTTTTATATCTGAAGGACGAAAATAGGGTATGGGTGACAATTTTAAGTGTAAAAGTTTGATTTTGTAGAAGAGCTCTAAAAATCTTGTCAAGAGTGATATTAAAAAAATGAATTTTAACATTTAATCAGCATTTCCGTTCTATAGCTCACACTGAAGTTTGTGTTTCAATTTGCACGCGCTCGCCGTTAGTATGACGTTGAATGTCGTAAGGGGACGATTTATGGGTACTCTAGGATAATTAACCATGTTAATTGTAAAACTACAGTTCAACTACAGTTCAAGGTTGCATTTTGCCCAAAAGTTACTGTTTATTTGTAAACACTCACTCATTCTGGATAACTCTGCTCAACTGTGAGCTTATTTCCAGTATTCATACACATACAGACAGACGGATTTCAGTCTCACCCCTGACTGTATGCTCAAGGTAGATTTTTGATGAATTAGTCTTGATCTTAAACAGAATATTGACTTTTTTCCAGCAGTTTAAACCCTACTTTACAGTTAACTGGTAAAAAGATAATACACTTTGAAAAATGACACTATTTAAATGCACCTGTAGGTTACTTGTTAAATACCCACGCTATACTGTTCAGGACGCAGCCATATTGAATGGCGTGTTGGATTGTGGGTAACTCGCGGTTAAATTGCACAAAAATTGATGCCGTTAGGAAAAGAAAAATAAGTTTTTCTAGTAAAGCAAACTAAACCTAGCAAAACATAACACAAAAACTCAACAAATTCAGAAGCAACAATGTTTAAATTGCGTTTTTTACGTACCATGCTTACACATTTTTACCGCGCCTTTTACTGTAAACCGGACTTCTAATTTTACAAATATATGATAATATATTTACTCTCTTTCTTTCACCTGCAAAACTTTGATTGTAAATAAATGCATACCTCGTCTGGAAATGCCCAACAATATATATCAATTGCAGTTAAAGACAAATATCAAACAAAAACATGCATAACAGTAAACTTCCGGTGGCATAGAATATTACAACCAGTTATCGCCCTTACACTTTACTATGGCACTATAATTTTGCGAGAATCACATAACATTGCCTTTATGTTTTCCCTTCCTCTGTCAGATTAATGAGCAGACATATATAAAAGATTGATTTTAATGATTTTAAAATAATTTATTATTCGAGCAAATAATGATGCCAGGATAATAGGCCTATAATTATTTCCAAATGCACTGAGCCAGACTGGATACATGAATACAACTTGGAAAAAATACATATGACAGGATTTTTCAAAGTCTGTAAGGAAAATTACATTGCCAGTAAATTTCGGTCATCGCTGTTAAGTGCAACAGGGAGTTGTCATTATTTTCAAAGGGACCAGGCAATATTTATCAAGAGGGTCAGTGGGACCAATGCCCCCCCCCCTTTTACATTTGCAGTAAGAATTGAAGGATATGCCCGGCCCCCATCCTCATTTTGTGTGTTCAGAAAGTGAAATCAATGCCCAATATATACTTGTAGCAGGCAATATCCTCAAAACGTCAGGACAGGGACGTATATACGTCGGTCAGGGGTCCTGAGTCAACTCGTTGTATTTGCTAACAAAGTCATTGTATCAACCATATAGAACTTGCGAAACGATGACTTTTAAAAACGAGACTATCCTTGTTTCATCAACTTTTTTTGTCAATAGCTTGCCCCGTTTTAAACAAAATAATTTTGCAGGTGACCAATGACAAGGTATGTAAATCTACGAGTTCCATTTTAGTTGACTGAAGCAGTTTGGATAACTACCAGCTGAAGGACACAGATTCAATGGATTAAATTGAAGAAAAAGATATTGGTATTTTCCTTTTCATAACTAAATTTTTGGAATTCTAAATGTGATTTTGCATTACATGCAATCTAAAAATAAATGAAGAATATCAGCCATATTTCATTTTTCAGCTACAGGAAGATAAGGGATACGTGGGTCTCTAAAGCACTTTGGTACGAACTTTAAAATCTGTTTGCTCTGCTCCTGATTTGTAATGTTTAAATGGATTTTTGAGCTTGATTACTGTTCGTTATTTCCACATTTTATGCACAATGCTGTTATAGGAGTATTCTAGCTGTCTTTGCAGTGTCCAATGTGTAGCCGGGACGGATTTCAGTAAGTTAATAGAGACCACATTGGTAACGACGAACGCCTTATTTCACACCTCTCTTATATTAACAGAAACGCCGTGTGTTCCCAATCCCTTCCTGAAATGTCTACAGAAATTTTACATACGAGATCTAGAATAGAGGTGGCATATAGAAGACTCAACCACTGATATATTTGTCTTAATCAGGCCAATCCTCTATATAGCGAGGCTGATCGTGAAACTGTTCCATCAGCGACAGATGGGGGAAAAGGGGACTCCTATATAAACCAACTGCTGAGGGCGCCAGAGGGCTGTATAACGACTTGTGAGAACAAAATGAAGTTTCCTGTGGAGCTTCCAAGAGAACGTGGCCGAAGTCACTTTTAAAATGTACGTAAGCTAGCAAGGCTTTCTTGAAAATAGCAAATGTAACTCAGACTAGCTTTAATATCAATTAATGTCGACACACAAGAAAACTGAGTGCTTTATCTAATATATTCATCGGTTTTCTTTATGAAATACTTAATAACTGATTAAACACTTAATATAACTGGATGTTTAACGACCTTTAGCAAAAAACATTTTAAATAAATTATATGAGAATACGATGTATAAAATTTTGTGTTGAAATCAATATACTAATTAAGTTTTCTCTTCCACTTCAATAATGGGGTATGTATATGTTCTTTCCGTACAGTATAATTTATCTATTCCGGAGATCCTGAGTACTCCGGAACTTTGTCCATTTTGATCAATTATTGTATCATAGTTAATGTATATTAACACTAAGATCTAAGTATATATACGTCTCTGACTGGAGCAACAAATTAAAAAAAAATACATCAGTTTATTTACAAATAACTATGCATTTCCATTATTGATTAAACTTGTCTTTACATGGGTGCTCGGAATAGGTATTTGGGGCGCTCTAATCTGAGATATTCTTCTAACTCCCATTTTACTCCTATGAACCTGCTCATTGCAGTAGGAACCCGGAAGGTGGGATTCTGCCGATATATAGAATACTATAGAAAATATAGCTACTATATGCTTGTGCCCCTACATTAATAACGTCTGATGACCCTTTTTTTCTTTGCTTGTCAAGGAATTTTGGTAGTTGATGCCCCCCCCCCTCCCCCAACTGAAAATGTTTAGTTGTGTCCCCTCGAAGTGAAATTGCTTCCTACGGGCCTGCTGCTAATTCAAAAGCATCAGAGATTTGTCATTTATGTCTGACAGAAAGTAAAAATCAACAAAGACAAATATCGCTGTTTATTAGAATAGTGTATGTGTAGTATTGTTGTTTTTTTTTTTTTTTTTTTTTTTTTTTTTTTTTTTTTACGCATGAATATTGTTTCAATCAAGATTAATCCGGATTTAGAAATCAAGATGGGTTTCATTAGTACTCGTCAACTTCCGGACTCGAATTAACCTACGCCATATTGGGGAATTTCAGTTCAGAACATATTGGAAGAAAAATAAAATGGGAAGAAAGAAGAAGAAGCAATTGAAGCCTTGGTGCTGGTATCCTTTTCATAAAATTTCTTACAATTTAAAAAACTCAGTTGAAAGGAACCATGTTTGGCCCTGTCAAAAGTTTTGTGAGATTAGAAGGTTCGCCCTGATTACGCTCGCTCCGAGTGGTTTAGCCCAAAGTGGCTTCACTCAAATTATACCTGTGGTGAACTCCTCTTACAACAGTACTCATTGGGTGTCAAATTATGACATTAATTGATTGGTTTGTTAACTTTGACAAATTGCTAACAATGTCTGGGTATATGTGTACACTACACATGATGCAGTGGGGAATATTTTTGATGAGTTAAGATGTTATTCGTATCTCTGGTTTTGATTACTTATATTTTATTGACAAATAACAAATAGAAATGATATAATTAAAAAAATAATTCCTGCATCAGAGGAATTTTTGGAGAATATACCCCATAGTCAAGAGATTTTGTTAGCAAATAAAAACCGAGCCAGAAGTTTTTTTTTTATTTGCCAACAGTTTTTCTATAGCCCTACTGTTTTTATTTGCCAACAGTTTTTCTATAGCCCTACTGTGTGAAATTGATCCTCAAGAAGTTCAGGATCTTCTGAGGGATCAATTTCCTAAACAATGGGGATACAGAAAAACAAATTATGACATTAATTGATTGGTTTGTTAACTTTGACAAATTGCTAACAATGTCTGGGTATATGTGTACACTACACATGATGCAGTGGGGAATATTTTTGATGAGTTAAGATGTTATTCGTATCTCTGGTTTTGATTACTTATATTTTATTGACAAATAACAAATAGAAATGATATAATTAAAAAAATAATTCCTGCATCAGAGGAATTTTTGGAGAATATACCCCATAGTCAAGAGATTTTGTTAGCAAATAAAAACCGAGCCAGAAGTTTTTTTTTTATTTGCCAACAGTTTTTCTATAGCCCTACTGTTTTTATTTGCCAACAGTTTTTCTATAGCCCTACTGTGTGAAATTGATCCTCAAGAAGTTCAGGATCTTCTGAGGGATCAATTTCCTAAACAATGGGGATACAGAAAAACAAATTATGACATTAATTGATTGGTTTGTTAACTTTGACAAATTGCTAACAATGTCTGGGTATATGTGTACACTACACATGATGCAGTGGGGAATATTTTTGATGAGTTAAGATGTTATTCGTATCTCTGGTTTTGATTACTTATATTTTATTGACAAATAACAAATAGAAATGATATAATTAAAAAAATAATTCCTGCATCAGAGGAATTTTTGGAGAATATACCCCATAGTCAAGAGATTTTGTTAGCAAATAAAAACCGAGCCAGAAGTTTTTTTTATTTGCCAACAGTTTTTCTATAGCCCTACTGTTTTTATTTGCCAACAGTTTTTCTATAGCCCTACTGTGTGAAATTGATCCTCAAGAAGTTCAGGATCTTCTGAGGGATCAATTTCCTAAACAATGGGGATACAGAAAAACATGTTATTAACCAAATGTTATTGCCTTTAAGTATTTTGATGCAGACTTATAATAGTTATAGTTAAATGAAATTTTTTTTGCACTGTAAATTTATATCCCATTTGGGATATTATATCCCAAACAGGCTATTATATCCCATTTGGGTGATTAGTCTCAACATATTCAAAACATACATTTGAACCTATTTATAGGAATCGACTATAAGTTTTATGAACAGCAGCAAAACTCCATTGTTTAACTGTAAGGATAGGTTTCCATTAAAGTCCGAAATAATTTGGTATTTATCTGCCATTTATTTTTAATGAAAGTGCTCTTTAATCTGAACACTGGCTGCACTGATCAAACAACTTTCTGACCGCTGTTACTTAACATAAACATCAATTACACTTTACACTTAAGTGAAATCACATGGATGAAACCACTCGAATTCTGTGAGATCATATTGCTACAATGTGAAAGTCAGTCCCACATGGAGCAAAAACTATTTTTCTAACCTTTTAGGCTTTTTTTGAAAACTCTGTGTGAAAAAAATAGAACAGTATTGAAGAGTATTTTATAACGTTATTTGTACATATCTATGTTGAATATATATTCTGTCTATACATCAACTACATTTACATTTAAACTATGTTTTTTTCATCCGATAGTAATTAGTGTCGAACCTTGATTTTGAAGATGCCCATTTCCCTCAACAAATCACCAGTTGTCAAGATTACTAAAATTATACCTTTTGCAATTGATAAATATAAATGTAAATTCTTTTCCCAATAAATTTCAACATTAGAACAACCGAGATTTGAATGTATATTGACATTGTCAAACACTGATATCTGCAATTTAACTATAATTCATACTGCACATAGGTCATCGTTTTTCCTGAGAAAAATTGTTCTAGGTTTTGGGTTTATCATTTTGCCGTTCACATATTCCTTAATGTTCAATTAGGTATTGTAACAGAGAATTTGATGATGAAAAAATTCTTATCCAGCATCAAAAAGCCAAGCATTTTAAATGCCATATATGTCACAAAAAGCTCTACACAGGACCAGGACTGTCCATTCACTGCATGCAGGTAATCCTTAGAATATTACTGGTAACATTAACTTCAGAATGGTCAGGGGAGTTTAAATTGAGGTAGTCATAAGGTTCAGGAATAGTTAATTATAATAGAAAGAATTCCAAAACTGTTTTATATATGTAGCTATTGTATGTGTACTTATTTTTAATGCAATCCTAAGTGTCCTAATTTTTAGCTCACTTCAATTAGGTTTGGGGAGCTTATGTAAGACCCTCAGTCTTGGCATCCCAGTTTAAAGTTTTTGGACAGATTTTTTCTCAAGTTCTTTTATGCCCTATATTGATCAGAGAATCATATTTGATACTTCTGGTATGTTTCATTGTACCAGTCAGGTTTCAGATGCTGCTGCGCATTTTCAGCCACAGAATGATCAAGTTTAAAGTTTTTGGAGCAGGTCTTTTTTCCAAGTGCATTTAACTATAAGCTTTATGTTGATTAAACTTGCATGAATGATACATCTAAGGATGCACAGTACCAGACTTGCTTCAGATAAGTGACAAGGTTAAATTTATTGGAGCAGGTTCGTTACCAAGAAACTATAAGGCTTACCTGCCTTGCATAAATGTTGCATCTAGGGATGCAGGGTTGCACACTACTAGATTATTAGTATAGTGTGGGACTTTGCCTAACTTAAAGATAACATTCATTGAGGTGAGCTCTGTAATCTTTGATTAGATATGTTTTTAATACTAGAAAACTTAGATTTTATGTATTGAAATAATGTAATACATGGAAATACATAAAACACTAGGGTAATTCATGAGGCTAGCTAAATAGCCTCTGACCTACATGTATTCTTCCTTTTGAATTTACTAAAAAAAGTACACTATATATTTGTTGAATGTCTTACACAATGTCTTGATAATTATAGATATCAAAAACAGAGAATTTAGATTTGAGCTTGACAATTTCTTCAATATAGGTTCACAAAGAAAAAATTGATAAAGTGCCAAATTCACTGCCAGGAAGAAATAATTGTGAAATAGAAATTTATGGAATGGAGGGAATTCCAGAGGAGGACATAAAAGCACATGAAAAACAGAAGCAGGGGAGTGAGGGAGGTAAGCTAAAATATCCCCCCAAAAGTTTTTTGAATAGAAGTATTATAAACTTCCGTATTTCATAGTTTAATGACTTCTGTATACGTCATGGAAAAGCTACTTAAAATTCAACGAAGGGATTAGTATTACAGAAGTAAGTAAATAGTTGATACTGGATCTTTTTATGTTTCAGTAGACATAATGTGGTACAAAATTGCTCAATTTTATTAGAGGAATGATTTTCTAAATTGATATGAAGATCACAGTAACTTTGCTGGGATTGGAAGTCTTGTTTTCTATTTGGTTTAGAGCCTCCCAGCAAGAAGTTGAAGGAAGATACAGATAGTAATGATGGAATGCCTGGTCCCTCAGGCAGTCAAAACAACCAGGTTCCCCCACCATACGGCATGAATAGAATGCCTATGCCTCCTGGAAATATGCCGTATGGCATGCCTCCTATGCCCCCTATGGGCCCCCCTGGACCTATGGGTCCAGGTCCCATGATGGGACCAATGGGTCCTATGGGACCAATGGGCCCTATGCCTCCAATGGGTAAGTTAACACTTAGGATAGTGTTTTGGAATTTTCTCTGAGTCAAAATTTAAAATGAGTTGAAAGACCAAAAAGCTTTTGTCAATCAGAAATATTGTTAAGTCACAAAGTAACAATATGATTTAAAATCAGCTAGAGTTGTGTAAGATTATTTACAAAATACTATTTTTTCTATATTCCAGGGTAAATGTATCTTTAAATAATTTTGCAAAACCATAATTTACTTTTATATTTTTCCTTTTTGCAGGACCAATGGGACCTATGGGGTAAGGAATACTTTATACTTAAAATCCAAGGTTACTCACCTATTTATGATATATTTGTATATAATTAGTTAGAGAGTAGAATAAAGAACGAGAATCCTTTATAATATCTTTGCAGTATGCCCCCTATGCCTGGAATGCCACCACGCCCTAACTTTATGCCGAATGGACCCCCAGCCACAATGCCAGGATCCAGCCCTATGAGTACACAGAGTGGGCCCTCCAAACCACTGTTTCCCTCTGCACAGGTGGGAATTATGCATTACTTACTTTTGAGCTTCAGTCTACATGCAATACTTTAATGACCTCATTTAAGAATGTATTATGTAATGTTAAGAGAAAAATAAAGGATTTATTAAATATCATATGATCTTGAAAATAACCTGCATTACATAATTCAGTTTCAATTGTCCGAGAGAATTTCAAGAAAGTGGTATAGTTAATATTGAAAAAAAAACCCAACTTCTAATTGAAAGCATTCTTTTACTTTCAGTCATCGCCAGCAACTATTTCAGCTCCTCCCACAGCTAACTTTAAAGCTGCGCCAATGGCTGCCCCTGTAAAGCCCACATTCCCTGCTGCTGCTGCAGCACTCTCAAACTCCCCCGTCAACAGCAGTGCTACCATCACAGGAGCCCCCCAGATAAAGAAACCCGAGTCTAGTTCAGGTTTGACATCCAAACTCATTCATCCCGAGGAAGATATTTCTTTGGTAAGTATTTATGAATGTTCCTTGATTTTGTCAACAAAAGAAGCGACTATAAGGGTTGGTAACATTATTACATGATAAAATGTATTTTGCATATTCTTTAGTTACTGTGTTGTCAGACCTATAAATATTTATTTTCTTGATAGAGAAATAAATAAAAAAATTTCCATGTTGAGAACTTTGATGATATAAAATTATAATTGCTGAAATATGCTGTAAAACTCTGCTATTGTGAAATTTAACAGATCAATATGTGATTTTAGGAGGAAAAAAGAGCTATGATGCCTAAATATAGAAGAGGCATGGGAAATCTTAATCAGGGACCAGGTCGACCACCAGCATCAAGTAAGATGATTGTTTTGGATTTCGATTTGTGAGCATTTTTTAATGGTTAATGCTGTTAGTACATTTAGATGCAGTATTAAGTATCTTATGTAGTTAGACATTTATAGAGTTAAGATATTGTCCTTCAGTCTTCAGTGCCATGTATTTGTTTTATAGCAATGATGGGAGGGGTGCCATCAAATATGGGTATGTCCAATGCAAATGGTAGTGGTGGATCCAATATGTATGGGAGTGGGATGTCTTATCAAGGACAGAGTGGTTTTAGGCCTCAAATGACAAGCCGACAGTACTGACCATTACCTCTAAGAATAGATCCAAAGATCATCAAATGTGTCTCTCAAATGTGTTTCACTACAGCTAAGTCAAGGGTTTTAAAAATGTTGTGGACATTAAAATAGTATGCATGTGTAAAAAATATTGTGTAAAGTACTGTAAAGTACTTGGACTGCCAAAGGGTATTATTTTAATGAGTTTTATTGTGTTAACTAATTATATTTTGTAGATGTAAATGATGTCCATAAATTTTATTATTATTAAGTATCAAGGTAAGAATCAAATTATCAGACAAATGTGTTGTATCAACAACAAGATACTCAGCCGGTAAGTCAGCTAGTACAGGAAATGTGGAATTCTCTTCATTGAATGTTCATTCATTCTTGTCATCTGCATTATATTTTATCACAATAAATATTTCTTATATTGTGTTACTCATGAGACTGTCATGGTTTCAGGAAAAGAAGGCAAGTACTAGACATTTTAATACAGTATTGTAATAATATGTATATAGTAAATGCCTTTTTAATTATTTCAAAAGATACCAAATTTGGAAGTTTTGAAAACAACTGCTGTAAAGGTTGGTGTAGAACTTTTCTTGATAAAATTCTCCAGACACCTGATTCAAGGTGGGTGGTCACAGCAGAATGACCTTTGACATTTTGCTGTTGGGTTTTACACCCCCAACATTTATGTTGGTGACTCTGGAACAGCCGGATTAGATCCACTGTGTCCAATTTGTAAAGGCAAGTGGTCACAGCAAGTTGTCTTGCTGTTGGGTTTCACACCCCCAACCATGTGTTGGCGACAGCAGAATTTGTGGCTTAGGACTTTTGTTGCTGTTTTTGGAAGGCGAGTAGTCACAGCAAGTTGTGTTGCTGTTGGGTTTCAGGCCCCCAACATTATGTTGGTGACTTTGATCCATGTTACTTTAGCTTTATGTCACAGCATGTCAATGCTGTTGGGTTTAACACCCCCAACATGAAGTTGGTGACATACTTGTTTCAGCTGGCTGCATGGTGTATTGAGTGATGATAAAATATGTTTTTATTTCTAGTAGAATCTTACAGAGTCGACAGACTGTAAGTAATGCATATGAAAAAAAATATTCTAAAGGAAAGTAGCATTATTTCATTAAAAAATTATTTACTCCACCTTTAACAAGTAATTTGTAATTAGAGGAGTAAAGGCAGTGTTATAATGAGGCTGATTTGTTTTCTGTAGAACAGGGCCCAGTCTGGTACCCAGACCGTGGATAATGAATCCTAACTGGTATGTACCCAGGTCACAGTAAGAACACCTTACTGTTGGGCTCTCTGGCCCCCAACATTGGTTGGCGACATTAATATAATAAAATGCTTTAATTCTTTTGCAATGATGTACTGTGTAAGTGAAATATATGATTAATCACATTATCCCAATAACCATTTAGAATTTGAATTTAGGTTAAATAATGCATTAAATAGTCAAGCATGCAGCTCCCCATGTGTAGTAATTTTGAAAAGGTAAAGATCAGTTTCCCTGACCTCTAGGTGTAGGGCCAAAAATTGGGGAAGGGGTGGGGGTTATTGAGGCCCCTGACCTCTAGGTGTAGGGCCAAAATTGGGGAAGGGGTGGGAGTTATTGAGGCCCCTGATCTCTAGGTGTAGGGCCAAAATTGGGGAAGGGGTGGGGGTTATTGAGGCCCCTGACCTCTAGGTGTAGGGCCAAAAATTGGGAAAGGGGTGAGGGTTATTGAGGCTCCTGACCTCTAGGTATAGGGCCAAATAGGGATGGGTGGGGGTTATTGAGGCCTCAGATCTCTTAGATGTAAGGCCAAAATGGGGGATGGGTGGGGGTTATTGAGGCCTCAGATCTTAGGTGTAGAGCCAAAATGGGGGATGGGCTGGGGTTATTGACAGTGTTTGAAATAATTGTGCACCCGAGTGCTGGAGACGCATAACGTTTGCCACGGACAAACAGATTTGCACTTGTCAACGCCTGGCTGGAGGTATTAAACTTTGCCATAAATTAAAATTCGTATATATGATAAATATCTCTCAAATCAACTAATAGTATCGGTAGCTAAGTGTAACAAGCAAAGGGGTAGAATTCGACAGTCTATAGATTTGGGATGGAAGTTATGGAGATCTTTCCCGATTCAAATTATCGCTGAGAACAAATTTGTAAAAGACTTATTTTCTCAGGCTAGTAGAGGTTTGGCAGGGATGACAACTTTCACTAGGACTCAGCCCTGCATGTCTAGCTAATTCTACCGTGATTTTCAAACACTGGTTATTGAGGCCTCAGGTCTCTTAGGTGTAGAGCCAATATTAAGGGTTGGGTTGGGGTTATTGAGGCCCTTATTCTCTAGGTGTATTGCCAAAATGGGTGATGGGATGGGGATTATTGAGGCAATTGACCCTAAATCATTCTATCAACAGTAAAATATCAAACATAAATAAATAAAAAAAAATCATATACATGTACATAAATATATTAGTAAACATATACTTAGCAATGTCATAGTATGAGGGAACAAAATTTCAACAGAATTTTTACAAGAATGGATTCAAAAGAAAGCATTCAGGCAAAAAACACATGTAAGCTGTTTTTCAGATACTTGTTGAGAGTATTGTGGATATTAAAGAGGCACTTTGTCAGACATGGAAAATGGAACTGGCAAGTTCAGAGTTCATGATAATTTTTTAAAGATGGCATGCCATTTATACTTTTATACGTGGTGGTTTTTTAACTGAATTGAGACCTAGTGCTGGGAAATTCTTGATGTTGTGTAATATGGATGAGCGACATATTCAGAAAATTAATTTGTTCAATGAATTCAAGATATGTTGTAATTGTTCAGGAGTTGAGAACATTGTATTAATATGATTGATTGAGTAATGTGAGAGGCTTTCAAGACTACTGAACTGAAGTTTAAAGAAGAGCATGTTGATTTCTAAGATCTGAGACTGACATGGTGATGGAAGCAAAACATGAGGATTATTTTGCACTTTAAAACATTTACAAATAAAAAATTTCAAAGTAAATCGATGGTAAAATTAGTGAAATGAAAATTGAAAAAAAGGAGACAGAAAACCCTTATAAATTTTACTCCTTTTTATGTGAACTGTGTTGAATGTGTCATGTATTTTATCAGTGATTGGCAATGGTTTAATACTACACATAATTTATATTGAGAGACTGTATTGGTTGTCACAAATATCTTTAAGATGATTTTGTAATAATAAAAATAAATCTTGAAATTCTGTTATGTTTTGTGATGTTTGTGACTTATCCTTCCAAGCAAACTGATACGAGACGTAATTAGTCATGGGAATCATATTACTGGTATCTTATGCAAAAAAAAAAAAACCCATAAGATTTCCGAACAAAAAAAAAAAAAATAAATAAAATTTGAAAGTACAAAAAACCCTCTTTTTATGTATCAGTCGAAAACAATATATTTAAAAACATCTTATAGAGACAAAAGGGTTACAATATCGATAAGATATAGTGCATATTAGAATACAAAAATAGGAAAAGGTGACTCGATCCCAGATTTAAAAAGAAAAAAAATGGAAAAGGGGGGGGGGTCCAAGTGCCTGTGCTGGCAAACACAGAAGTTTCTGAGTTGTTGCTGATTCCCAGACTATTTTATTGATCGCAGATCATCCTATTTCTCTTGCTTTTTGAGTTTCAGTTTATTTTGCGGATGCTTTACAGCATTGTATTATACTCGGGTGGCCGTTGATAAGTCCCCTGGGCCTTTTGTTTAATAAATGGGGGAGATGGGGGGGGGGGCAAATTTTTGCAGTATTTTAGCAGAATATAAGAATTATCATGTGCAACGAATCCTCAATCAAAAATTTCCAATTCCAAACCCGTTGCAGTGCCTTGAAATTTGATTTTCCCCTTACGTAATGGCTTGTATATTTTTAACAAAGATTGCGAATGAGTTGTACTGAGAATCCTGATTCCAAAGGTAGATCTAATATTCATTGACATGGTGTTTTAAGAAAAAGTTTGTTTGTAGCATTAGATTTTAACGCTTTGTTAGCTCAACTAAGCTAAATGCACATATGAGCTTTTTATGTTTGAAGCGTGTTTTCTGTTAACTTTCCACATTTTCAACTTCTTCTCCAGAGCGACTGAGCCAATGTCAACTAAACTTACCACAAAGCATCCTTGGGTCAAAGGAATTCAATTTTATCAACATGAAGGACCATACCCTCTTTCAAGAGGAGATCTAAAGTAGTAGTGAAAATGTAATAGAACGTATAAACATCTACTTAAAACAACTGGGCCAGGAAAGATGATAAGAAAGCTTCAACATATAGCATAGATCTATTCATGTTTGTTCAAAACATAACCCTCGCGGTGGTAGGATAGGGCCACAAAAGGGAATCAAAATTTTACATGGGAATATTAAGGAAAAATCTTTTTCTCAAGAATAGCAAATCCAAGACTAGTCATTTGGATGGTGAAAATTCAAATTATGACCCCAGGGTTAGAGTGGGGACACGTTTTACACAGGAATATATAGGAAAAATATCTCAAAGACATGGCTAGACATATTTATTTGGAATTATCCTCGAGTACATGTAGTTTAGATCCAAGTTTGTTCAATTCATGACCCTAAAGGTATAGTGGGGCAATGATAGGAGAAATTAGTTAGAAATATGTAGGAAAAATCTGAAAAATGCTTCCTTTAATCAACAGCAAAGTCATTTATTAGACATTTGAATATGCAAGCACCCCCCGGTAGTTTAGATTCGAGTTTTTTCTCCCTCAGGAATAAATTGAGGCTACAATATGGGATCAGAGTTTTACAAGGGAGTATATGTAGGAAGAGATCGTTCCAAGAGTGGCAAAACCACTCTGAATCACATTGATAAGCAAAACATACCTAATTTGTGTGGAATAAAACATTTTTAAAATCGTGATCCCTGGGGTTAGGGTTGGGCAGAATTAAATCAGGGATCCAAAATTTACACAATGCATGTTTACAGGAAAAAATCTCCAGTTAGCAGGACCATATCAATCATATTGAAGCTTTCCATTGTTGTGTGGATTCAACTTTGATTAAATCATAGTTCCCTTATGACTAAATTTTGGTTCACAATAGGGAGATAAAACTTTTATGCAATTAAAGAGGGAAAGTTTAAAAAATGCTGAAGTAACTCAAGCGAGCATTGTAGCCCACGAGCCTCTCATTATAGCCAAAAGCTCTATATCTTGTAGAACCTCTGATTGTGACTTCTGAACAAATGAAAAGTGTACAGCTGTATTGGAAACAGAATTTTTTTTTTTTGGCAAATCCAGCCGTAAATATGTAAGTTTACATTGGTAAACGGCAGGCTGGGTCCCTGTGACATCTCCTCCAGTATGCCTCCATTTCCTTTACCCAGGTGGCGTTGTAGCAAGAAAATGGCGCACAACACATCCCTGTTCGAAGTCTGTAGCATTCAAGTCCTACAAAATAGAGGTCACTCTAGAAAGCATTACATCATTCAAAAGAACATGGACCTCATATGGCGATGATCTGGTTTCTGAGAGAATTAAGAATTGATTTGATAGAAAATAAAGCTGGCATATTGTACCTGGTGCGCATGCACAAGAGGGACCACATGATTCGGTTTCTCTTGCCAGACGTGACGAACATATCCCAATTTGTGCTTCCATGGGCAAGTCCATTCCTGTAATTAAGTCGATAAACGAGCCCCAAAAATCTTAACGGTCATCCTAGTATAATACAACCCTGAGCAGAGAAGATTTTCAAAGAATTAATGAACTTTCACTATGTAATGAATAGAGTCCCGTCCTAAAACCAGAACCCCCTGAACAAGGGACCAGAAATTTTACAATTTTGATGGAGACACCCTTCTTGCTCATTATAATGTATTTAGTTTGTTTGCTTAATACCCAGGAACATCATAACCATACACAGTTTATTTGCTTATAATCCGGATGCAAAGAAGACTATTTTTAAAGAATTAATGAATTTTCACTATGCATATAGCGTGTATGAAATAAAAAACATGCAACCATTTTAAATTATATTGTATTTTTCTAGGATTTCAATCAAAAACCAGCCAACAAAGGTATAATTTCAAGACTTATTCTTATGAAAAAGAAATAATCCCTCTTCAAATAGATAATGAGCTACAAGGGGCCATGAATTTCACTATTTGAATAGAGGATTCTATGCATATTGCAATCATGCCAACAGTTTGATTGCTTGATGTTCAGGAGTAAAGAAGATTTTTTAAAAATTGCATTTGTTTTTATGGTTTCTGCCCCATCCCTCAGGCCTCACGGGTGACCATGAAATTACAATTTTTGTTCTCCTGCACCTATAAATGCAATATGCCTAAACTGGTTGAAATTAGTTCAACAGTTCCGGAGGAGAAGCTGAAAATGTTAAAATGTTAACGCATGACACGACGACAGACGATAGCAAAAGGTCACCTGAGTGACCTAAAACTAGGACAAAAGACCTGTTATTATAGTTTCAAACTTGAAACACATGGTTATAACAATTTAATTTACAGTAACTTGATGCGTGATATCAATATTAATATTTCGCTATGTTGCTTTTTGAGAAAGTACATGTAAATTTTACAAGACGCCCAAAGCGGTTACCCTAGTGTAATGTAACTATGGCAGTATAAAATAAACACATTTAGCTGATATATACGAAACCATGTAGGCCATACCAAAAGCAAGAGGAATAGGAAGATTAGGAATCAGGAAAATAATAAATTTAGTACTTGGCAACAAATCTTAAAGTAGCTCTTTTTTTAAAATTGATATCAATTTCAACAAACACATATTAGTATTTATAATATGTCACACAAAAATATATCGTTTGTGAATATATTAAACAATACAAAAATTCTGTAATAGTGATAACTGAGACAGAGCGGGAGAGAGGCGAGATAGAGAGAGGGGGAAATAGAGAGAGGGGGTGTAAGGGGGGAAGAAAGGGCATTATAGAAGGATATGGCTATTTTTATATCTTTCTGTAAACTGGCATAGGTAAAAACTTTGGTTTTAATATTAAATTTTGCTTGAAGATCTATCTTTAGAAAAGTTCCCTTTCCATCTAAATTTTAAGTTAATTGTTGAAAGATGAAATCGTCCCACGAATCTGTTTTCATTATGTCTTGTACAATTTTGAAGGCGATTTATGTATCTTTCCAAAAAATTATATAGTTACTCTTTGTAACATTAATTCAATAATATTTGAGCCAGTATGTATAAATTTCATTATGAAAAAACTTCTTGAACCAACGATCTCCATTTCGAGTCCTGGCCATTAAGAAGTCTTTTGATCCAAGTTGCTTTTGATCTTCTATTAAACAGTCTTTTGATCCAATATGATTTTTAAACCCTTAATGTAGTAATTTACATCAATTGTAATCCTGGGTAATTTGTTTGTTTTCTTCTAATCTGGTCCACTTTAGTTTTCCATAGAAAATTAAAATAACATTATTAAGATTTAAAAAAAAATATTCAAGCAAACGTATATGGGTATAAATCAATAGAGCCCCCTCCCGCATAAAGCCTAGCCCTGGGGCCACAAATTTCACAATTTTGAAAGAATCACTCTTGATCATCATAACCATACATTTAGTTTGTCTGTTAAATACCAAGAAAATTTTCATAGAAATAATGCATTTTCACTTTAAAATTAATAGAGCCCCGCCCTAACACCAGAACCCCTGACCTAGGGGATATGAAATTCACAATTTTGGAAGAAGCACCCTTTTTCATTATAACTTTGCATTTGGTTTGTTTGCTTAATGCCCAGGAGCAGAGAAGAAGAATTTTGGAGAATTTAATAGTTATCTCAAACTCCATGGGATCGAGAAAAAATTCGAGATATCTGAGGATTCGAGATATTAAGGGTAAAACACTAAAGGAATATGTTGTTTGGACTTCCAAATCACTTCAACACATATACCCATGATATTCGAAATACCGAAGTTCAACTGTTTATAATCAATAGAGCCCCCCCCCCCCCCTTCCTGCAGAACCTTAGGGCCACAAATTTCACAATTTTGGAAGAGGCAACCTTGATCATTATAACCAAGCACCCAGTTTATCTGCTTTCTATACAAGGGAGGGGGGGGGGGAGAGAAAGTTTTCAATAAAAATTATGCATTTTCATTTTATATCTTTGAATTTGTTTCACTCTGTAACTCAAGTCAATGTCGTAAAATATAACTTTGCACGTGATAGCAAAAATTTACAACATCGAAGTTGCAGCTCATATTGCTTTAATTACACAGTAGAAATAATATATATATATATATATATATATATATATATATATATATATATATATATATATATATATATATATATATATATATATATACCTTCTGATGGTGGAAGTGATATACCAGTTCTGTAACTCCTACAGCACGGAGCTGAATCTGGACACTGAGATCCAGACCGACACAACTGTGCCTCCATCCTCAAGGTTAAACAAATCAAAACCTGTAACAGTCATATCAGGCCTTCAACTTAAGGATTCATTGAGATTTTTATCTTTTTTCCTCAGGTAGCCATCATTCACGCGACATTGACATTGACTTGTTCACGATTTATAATGGTTCACATGTGAACCATAGATGAGAGACAATGATTGGTACAGTTTATGTTACTAGTTAGTGAATTCAAAATTTAGTTAAAGAAATTTTCAAATTAATTTGAAATCGTTAAACATCAGATTAAATGAAATATTACCAAAGTACAGCGCAACATGTTATAGCCTCCGTTCCTGTATGTATACTTCGTGCTAGAGTTTTACTTCAGATAAAATCTCATGAAAACTGAGATGTTAGAAAGATTTTTTCAAACTTAATGTTTATAAAAGAATAAATATAGTAAATAATCAATCATTTTTTGCACGAGCCTAGGCCTATGATTAAATGATTGTCATTCGACACATATGTTTTTCTGATATATCAAGCAAATGAAAACGTGAGAGAAACTTTTTTTTTGTTTTTAGCTCACCTGAGCCAAAGGCTCTTTTAAGGCTGTTGTCTGTCGTTCGTGTACGCAAGTCATTTATTCACTTTTTACATTTTCGAATTCTTCACCACAACTTCTGCACTTTGCCGATTAAATCAAGACTGAAGCCTGCAGCCACTAACAAGCAGACAATATTGGGACATTAATCATACTGAGAGTATTAGTAACTAGTGCTAATTGTAACGGGAACCGTTACAGATGTTCCCCAAACGGCTCCCCAATCCCTTATGATGCCCCATTCCCTACAAGCTTCAATGAATTAGACAATACTTTTGTAATATAAATGGATACTTTATTTTTAAGGGTATTTCATTGGAAAACTACTCCGATATAGCCATATAGGTATTAGCCAATCAAATTTCAGCGCATGTGCTTGCACATGTTTTCTACATTTTTCACATTAATTTTCTTATAGTGTCTCACAATACATACATTTGTGTTAAATATTAAAGAATTTCATTGAAAAATAAGAGAGATGTAACCCTTTAAGTATTAGCCAATCAGAAATCAGCGTACGCGCATGCATGGCCTTGCATTCAATTTTGATAGTATCATATTGTAGGAGCTCTATGTGCCTATCCATGTCGTAAATTTCATCCTGTTTTGTTGAAAACCAAGGGAGTTATAGACATTTAAAGTTTCAACCAATCAGATTGCAGCACACCTGCATGCGCGTGTTTTCAAGAAATTTCCTATATAACATGTTGTAGCACCTTCTGATATATACTTATATTCTAAATTTCAAAGTATTTTGTGAAAAAACAAGGAAATTATTGAGATTTTTGTATCAGCCAATCAGAGAAGAGCGCACGTGCATGCGCGTGAGTTCACGCTAATTTGACCACGTTATCTTATCTAGACTACTAATATATCTTTATATTTTGAGTTTCAAAGCAATTCATCAAGAAATACAAAAGTTACGGCTTCATCAAGTATATCAGTCATTTCACTCATTGCACGCGCGCGCACGTGCATGCATGTGCGCGCAAAATGACCTTCGTTCCGAACACCTACACAACATGCCTATTAACCCTAAAAAGGTTTCATGTCAATCGGATGAGTGGTTCTATGAGAACACTCCCGGACAAAAAAGTACCGGAGAAGAAAGTAGAAAAAAAAGAATAATAATAATAATAACTAGTGCTAATTGTAACGGGAACCGTTACAGATGTTCCCCAAACGGCTCCCCAATTCCTTATGATGCCCCATTCCCTACAAGCTTCAATAAATTAGACTATACTTTTGAAGTATAGATGGACACTATTTATAAGGGTATTTCATTGGAAAACTACTCCGATATAGCCATATGGGTATTAGCCAATCAAATTTCAGCGCATGTGCTTGCTTCTACATTTTTCACATTAATTTTCTTATAGTGTCTCACAATACATACATTTGTGTTAAATATTAAAGAATTTCATTGAAAAACAAGAGAGATGTAACCCTTTAAGTATTAGCCAATCAGAATTCAGCATACGCGCATGCATGGCCTTGCATTCAATTTTGATAGTATCATAATGTAGGAGCCCTATGAGCATATCCATGTCGTAAATTCCATCATGTTTTGTTGAAAACCAAATGAGTTATAGACATTTAAAGTCTCAGCCAATCAGATTGCAGCACACCTGCATGCGCGTGGTTTCAAGAGATTTCCTATGTAACATGTTGTAGCACCTTATAATATATACTTATAATTTAAATTTCAAAGTATTTCGTCAAAAAACAAGGAAATTATTGAGATTTTTGTATCAGCCAATCAGAGGAGAGCGCACGTGCATGCGCTTGAGTTCATGCTAATTTGACCATGTCAACTTGTCTAGACTACTAATATATCTTTATATTTTGAGTTTCAAAGCAATTCATCAAGAAATATAAAAGTTACGGCTTTATCAAGTATATCAGTCATTTCACTCAATGCACGCGCGCGCACGTGCATGCATGTGCGCGCAAAATGACCTTCGTTCCGCACACCTACACAACATGCCTATTAACCCTAAAAAGGTTTCATGTCAATCGGATGAGAGGTTCTATGAGAACACTCCCTGACAAAAAAGTACCGGAGAAGAAAGTAAAAAAAAAGAATAATAATAATAATAACTAGAAACTCATTACTAGTAATGAGAAGGTCTTCCGTTATACTACTTCCTGTTTGCATAAACATGTCTTTTCCAACGTCGGTATAAGCCTAAAACTGATGTAGAAACAAAATAACTTAAAAAAATTACTTTTTTCTTCATTTCCTGTCACGACCGGAAGTAATGACGACAGACGATTTTTACACGATGCAAATGAACTGATGACTGACTATAAGTCCTGAAAGTTTTAGACTTCAGTCTTTTACTCTTACCGAGCAATTGTGAGAACACATTCTAATTTTGGGGACAGGAAAACACACGACCGGAAGTGAATTGAATAAAAATCTCTGAATTTTCTCATGACATTTGTAGTATCTACAGCATATGTATAAAAAAACATTTCAAATACTTATCTTTAAGTGATATTTATGAGAAAGCTAAACATCGAAATAACGTAGTTTATCTCTTTAAACCGGAAGTTTACAGTTTTTGTTTCCGGTGGAATCTAACATATTTCAAAACACGAAAGAGATGCAACATTGTGATGCAAGTTATAATTTTATAAAGAAAAGTTGAAATTTTCGATTTTTTGATCACTTCCTGTGACGACCGGAAGTGACGGCTGACGCGTCTAACCCTATGTGTTTTGCCTACTCCTCAAGGTCTATTACTCATTCAAGTTTGGTGTCTTAATCTCATGCCGTTTCCGAGATCTCGCTGAGATAACTTTTCATTTTGAGGACAGGAAAAACACGCGACCGGAAGTGAATTTTACTAAGATTTTTGACGTTACTCTAGACATTTGCAGTCTGAATAACATATCTAGAAATCTTTTCAAATACTTTATCTACAAAAGATATTTAAGGGAAAGTAAAATACTCAAATTATGTAGTTTTCCTCTTCTAACCGGAAGTTGTCGTTTTTGTTTCCGGTGGGACTGACATATTTCGAAACTACACATAAGATGCAATAATGTGATGCAAAAAAAAATTCAAAAAAGAAAAGTTGAAATTTTCGATTTCTTTGATCACTTCCTGTGACGACCGGAAGTGACGGCTGACACGCTTAACCCAAATGGGCTCGCCTACTCCTCATGATCTATTACTCGTATAAGTTTGGTGTCTTAATCTCTAACCGTTTCTGAGATCTCACTCGGAAAAAATATTTTTGAAAAAAAACGGAAATCGGACATATCTGACGACCGGAAGTGAATTTTGAAAAAATGAAAAAAACGCCTCGGGGTATTTTCATTCTCTATCAACCCTGAAAATTTCAGGAAAATCCGTCCAGTCATCTCTGAGAAATCCTGCCGACAAAAAAAGGGGAAAAAAATAATAATAATAATAATAATAATAAACAGTACAATCACTATAAGGTCTTCCGTCTTGAACGGAAGACCTTAATAATAATAATAAGAAACAGAGTAAAACAATATGTTCCCAAACTTCGTTTGGGGAACATAATAATAATAATAAGAAGAAACAGAGTAAAAACAATATGTTCCCAAACTTCGTTTGGGGAACATAATTAGATCATGAGTTTGTTGATACGAGAAAAAAATTCAATTAATTCCTAGGATTGAGGAGGGTAGCATATCCTTATCTCTTTGAGGATGTGATGGACAGTGTTCCTGTAAGCTCGCCTTAACTTGTTATTCTTCATGTCTCTTAATGTAATTGTGGGGCCTTATGCGACCTTAATTTGTGAAGACAAGCCGAAATGAAGTCTAGGGCCAGGCAAAAAACATTAAAAGTATCAAGTTTTGACAGAAAACCTTATTTGGGTAAGAGAAATTAAATACTAGTATTCTTCTTCATGCATATTTCAAGGGAAGATAATAAGAAAAAATATCGATTATACTGTGGGCCGTTTAATCGATTTTTTCAAGGTAATTACACGTGTAAACACAGGGACTTAAGTAAAAGCCTGTTTCTGAAGTAAAGATATTTCAATTTCTTCAGTTTCTGTTCCTTGGAGAGTGCGACAGGTAACAATAAAGAACCTCAGATAAGAATCCTTCGATCAGACTGGAAAGTTTTATGAAGCCTTATCTAAGATTCCTCAAGAATAACATTTCAGGCTATGCTTAGTTTGTAACAAAAAGGTTCCATAGCATTTAGTTATAGTTTACAACGTTCATCAAAATATTACTCAGGTGAACATCGTTGCACATATGCCTCATGTTTAAGGCAGTGTGATACTACACTTTAATTTTCTAATTATACTTAATTAAATTAAAAGTGGCATCTAACTATACCGTTTATCAACCAAATAAATTAAACTTCTAGATATCTAGGTGAAACAACACACTTTTCTTTTTATATCAGAGCATCTTACCTGTAGTCAAACGATCTAGAAGATTGTTCGATGTTATACCTAAACAGTTCAATCCCAATAGAACTTCATCTCCTCTTTAATTAAAAAAAAAATAATTTATCATACTCTTCCAATAAAGTTCATAAAATGAAAATGAAGGGATAGACATATTTTCCTGCATGATACTCCAAACTTCAGATAAAATTTAGATAAATGTTAATGAATTTCGATATCAGTTTATCCAGCGGCATAACTCTCTGGTTATCAACAATGGCTACTTTCATTTATAAATTAAATTAAATTGTCAGTTAATTTGTAAGACGAAGATTTTAGGGTGGTGAAAAAAAAAATTACTATTATTATAATAAATTTTGAAGCTTAAACTTATAGAAGCGAATCTGATATTGGAAATCAAAAGAATAAATATTAAATTAAAATACAATCTTAAAGATAACTTGAACAGATTAATTTTCTACGGACAAGTTTAAAAAAAAAAATCGGAGGGAAATGATAGGAGAAAGCACAAAAAGAAATTAATTTAATCCATTTTTTTTCATTATCCAAAACATCAAAGTATTTCTGTTGAAGGTTTATTGAAGGTTCGATGCAGTTAACCAATAATTTATGTAAAGAGAAGGAGCACGTGGGTATATCTGTACTGTACGCACTCTAAGAGGATGAGTGCTGATATAAAAATCTTTCTACATGTTCAAAGATGTAAAGATAGTATTCTGGTACTGTTTGGCACAGAGTTTCCCTTCCCGGGGAGTGAAAATGGCAAAAGGTAAACTAAAGGAAAATTAGATTAAAAAATCGGTCTTAAACAGGAACAAGTACATGTATTTCTATTATAAGTCAATTTAGAATTTAGTTAGCAATCGATTAACGCTTAAGACAATGAAAAGATTACACCCTGATCAGAATCCTGTTTGACCTATAATTTTTTTTGTTTAAGAGTTTAAATATTTATAGCCATAATGAAAAAAGGTGAAGATAACGAACAGTGATCGATCTCATAAAAACCTTCTATCAATACAAATCTATGAACAGGGCATAAAATACGGACCCTTGAAAATTCCAGCGGTGGGATAAGATGCCTAGGAGGAGTACGCATCCCCTGTCGACCGGTCACATCCGTCGTGAGCCCTATGTGTTGAACAGATAGACAGAATATTCTGTAGTCAAATTTAGTATTCAAACAAAGGCCTAATAAATTGGTATGAAACACGTCAGCCAAAATACGACCCAATGATAGGTTATATTTACTAGCAAGGTCATTATAAGAAGCACAGAGTTTACGAAATGCTGACTTAAACTGAGGTTGTTGAAATCCTTGCAACATCAACTTATCTGTCAGTAGCCTGTCTCGGTTTAAAAACTGATCGTACTCAGAGCATGCTCTTAAGTTGTGACATAAAAGCCATAAGCAGGTGATAGTGGAATATTACTACATATAAATAAGGACAGTTGACAATGAAAAGTTGAAGTCATCTTATTGGTCACACAGTTTAGTTGTTAGTTGGCCCTCATCGTCTATAGCTATACTCAGTATTACATCAGAATATAGAACAGATGTGGCAGACACTGTGGTATCTTTTATTTCGAGTTCAATGAGATATATCCAGTCTACATTTGAATAAAAATAACTTTTGTCAATTGATAAAACGTTGTTGATATATCAAAATATCAAATAAATTAAAGGCCACAGCAAGAGATTTTTCTTCATTTCATGTAGAAGTTTTTGAATGCACTCTGGTTCATATGAATAATAAAAAAAATAATAATAATAATAACGGGGGTACAATTAGTACCCATGGAAAATCCAACAAATTGTTAGAAAATCTGATCTCTGAAAACTACATAGATATTGTCAATGAAAAATTCAAGGATCTTTTTTTTCAAATATTAATATTGGAGTACTTGTGTGTAGAATCAAGATTTTTTTCGTACAGTACTTGTTTGCAGATGACCAAGGACAAGGCATGTGCATTAACGTGTTTTATTATTTTTTTTATTGAAGAAGTTGTGTATAATTTCAAAAAGTCTGGAGACTGGATGCATCTGGTGTTAAAAAGTCTTATGTTTTGATGCTTTTGCTTTAAAATTTGCTATTGCCCTTGATAAAATTTTATGATTTTCAAATTTTCTAAAAATTCCGTGGATATTTTACATCTGATTAATACCACTTCTTGAATATGTTGTTGTACAGTATTCCTAAAGTTTCTCCACTACTGTTGATATTTTCCTGAGGAGTAAAGAAAGAGGCTTAGTTAAAAAAATTCTAAAACCCGCTATGTATCACTATCCCGGATTTTTATAAGAATTTCCAGTTATCTTCCCCGTTAATAATGATTTCCACTAAAATGAAGAATACTTTTGTCCTAGATCTCCTCATTTGCATTAAAATATGCAATCACTGCTATCTGTTCAGAAACAAACCTTTGGTACAATGACTAAGAGAGAATGACAAATGCTAAAATCATCGCAAAAAGTAAAATAATTAAAAGAAAATAGAAATCATTTTGTGCCAATCATTATTAGAGACGAAGTAAACTCCCCTTGTATTTTGCAGGAGGGATACCCTTGTATGCCAACAAAAGATGTTTGAATGGGACAGGCTTGCATGGATTAACGGTATTATGTCGCGGTATACCAAGTAGAACAAGGTCATTAAATTATTTTTAATAATGAGTCAATGAGTAGTAAATAAGATGCCATAATTCATGTGAATCAGGTCTATATTACTATGTAAGAATTTATGTAGAAATCAGAATGGATAGTTTGTGTGATATATGTTACAGAGATTCCGAATGAGCTGTGGTCAGGAATCATGATTCCAATGGAAAGTAGCACCACGTGATTCTAGGTGAAAATATAGATAATTTTACTTCTGTAAGCCATTCTATAAAAGACACACATTGTTCAATGTTTGTAAATCTTGTCTTCATTTTAGTAGCTATTTACTGTTGACTTGAAATCTGTAGATTTAAAATGAAATCACATTGTGCATGAAGTTTTGTCATGTCAAAGGCTCTCTGAGGTATGTTAACCTCTGATAAGCAAAGTAGGCTTTGAACAAAAAACAACGCTACAATTGTATTGAAAACAAAGTCTTCTTGGCTAATCCAATTGTAAATGAATCAACCTATAGTGGTAAAGGGCAGTCTGGATCTTCGAAACATTTGTCCCAAAATTCTGTTATTTCCTTTACCCAGGTGGCGTTGTAACAAGAAAATGGCGGACAGCACATCCATGTTCGAGGTCTGTAACATTCAAGTCCTACAAAAAAGTCACTACAGTATTTAAAATATAATTAAAACACTAAATTATAACAAACATTTTGTTACGCTTAATTCTAATGAATGTGAAATATTTGGGGGAGAGGTGGAGTTAAATTCATTTCTGTTTTAAAATAAAATCAAAATTCAATATATGTAGAAATTTGTCTTTGTGAAAAAATAGCTTGATACCTGGTGCACATGTGCAAGAAGAGCTGCACGGTTCATTTTCACTTGCCAGACTTGACGAACACAACCCAGTTTTTGGTTCAATCCAATCCATTCCTGTAATTATCATTATGAAATAATGACAGAGAGACATTCATGAAACAATTTATTGTGGCCCCAAATCCTATAGGGCTTACACTTTAATCTACAGTACATTGAGACACAATAGCATGACCAAGCCCGTCGTGTTACATTTTAGGAAAGGACAAGATAGGCTAAGACCCCTTTTTGGCCCCCGGTTCGGGGTGTCTTTTAGAGTGATGCAACAGTTTATCAGTTAAAATCCTGTTGTCACCCCTGCCACAAAATGAGTATTGGTTCTAAGTTATGGGATACACAGAGGTCAGAGGAAGGTCGGAAAATATGTCAATTTCCGAATTTTCTCATTTTTATGCAAATTTTCATCGATTTTACAGCACATTTTGGTTCAGAAAACATAGAGCACAAGCTTGCCTATCTATCAAATTTATATATTTCATACACTAGTATCAGATGCATCTTATGTATAAAAATCTCAGATAGGCAAGCTTGTGCTCTATGTTTCCCGAAGTGAAAAGTATCTCAGATTTCACGAAATTCGATCAGAATTGAGGAAATTCGGGAAAATGTCCTACTTTTGCATCCTCTTGTGGCCTCCGTGTAAGCCTTGAATCAAAATTAGTGCTGGTTTTAAAACAAGCATCATTTTAAGTTCTTATCTACAAACTATCACAATTTTAACTGTGTTTGATTTTTACATCAAATAAGGGGCCAGATTCGGCCCTTACCATACCTTGTCCTTAATACAGTTCCAAGTAAAGCCACCTACTGTAGGTTGTGCCTTCTAGAGTTTATTCATAAGAAATAACAAATAAATTCTGTTGCAATTAGTGTGATGTTTCATGATAAACTGACTGGACCAGATGCTTGAAAATCATTAAAAGAAACTGAACATTAGAAGTCTTTACAATATATTACTATTTAAGAAATGTTTAACCCTACTCAGACATTTTGTATAGATCACAAAAGCACAACATTACATTAAGTACTGATATATATTGATGTGAAGCAATTCTTCTTTTGTAAAGAATGAAGTAAAAGAGTGATACATTTTACAGAAGAATTGATGCTGGGTAAACCTTGTATCAGACGGACAAGCCCAAACTTTAAATCAGAAAAGATCATAGTAAAATAAGAAAGGGTGATGAGGCATTATGTACAAACAATATCACAGATGTATTACATCTACCTTCTGATGGTGGAAGTGGTTGACCATTGCTGTTCCTACAGCATGGAGCTGTCTGTGGACATTTAGATCCAGACTGACACGCCTGTGCTTTCATCCGCAGAGTTAAACAAAACAAAACCTATTATAGTGATACCAGGCTTTTAATTAAAGAATGTTTTGGAGATTTAATCCTCATTTAGTATTCATTCACAGGACAATAACATGGATGACTATCTGGTAATAAAACGCTAATTACTATTTAGGATGGTTCTTATTGTTGATCCTTGTGTTGTCCATAGATAGGCAATTATCACAAATTAGACGAATTCAATAATTAATAGAGGAACAAATTTTAAGTAAATGTTAAATCATTACACAACCAATAAAGAAAATATAATATTACCAAAATACAACTTAGCACGTTATGTCTTCTGGTCTTCCCTTCCATTCCTGTACGTGGTGTATGTAAAACTTTGCTTCAATTAAAATGTGATGAAAACTAATGTATTGTATATTTAAAAAAAAACCCAAAAACGTTTCATCAAAACTATGATAAATAATTAATCATTTGTTGCACTGCCGTGAGCTTTAAAGGATTGTCATTCGACACAGATGTTCTAGTCCTGCTAATCGTTACAATTTTGTAGTTAGCTCACCTTGGGGAAGGGGGGGGGGGATATTTTTCGCTTTTTGTTCAAAGTATGTTTACTGCCAAGCTGTTGTCTATCGGACAATTAACAAACAAAACTCTCTATCTTCTTTTCTGTTATTTGTTGGCTAATTAAATGTGATTTGCTGGCTAATTAACTATGAGGTGCCCTATATATAGTGCTTTTCGTTTCGTTTTAACCATTATATTTAGTTTTTTGGTCTTATGTTGCCTGATAAGAAAATATTGACAGAAATGAAGGTAAAGAGTTTTATTTGTTAATTTTTTTTTTCTATGGAGCAGGCAACCGTAGAGAAAGATCCCTAGGAGATAATTCTTTGATCTGCATCTACCTACACATGCATGTAATTGATCTGCTATTCAGAGTGTAGGGAAAGTACACAACCTTCTTTCATATCAAGGCATCTTCGGTGAGATCAAGCGATCTAGAAGGTTGTTTAAGCACACATGACTGCATGTTCCTACATTCAATTTTGATAGTAGTGTAACGTGTTCCCTTCTGATACTGGATCCCTCAATTACTAAACTGAGATCGAGACTCAAAATAATACTTACAAAATATATCGCCTTCCAAAATTATTCAAATACGGCGAACGTATATACAAAAATAATCGCCTGCAAAATATACAAATAAGGCGAAACGAGTTCCTCTCGTGTAAAATAAAAATGATTACCCTTAATTACTTAAGTAACTAACCACTAATAAATCACTATCAAAAATATTAACTAAGATCTACAAACCTATATACAAAATTATATAACTTAAAATGTTACTCAACAGATGAGTAAAACCTTGCAAGGGGTTATGAAATAAGTGCTCAACAAAGGACTACTCAGCTACTCAGCACTTTTATTTATAAACACTAAAAGACACTATGTCTACTGAGGACATAGGAGGTAAATGCTAATAGATTACAATATTCGTTTTACTTATATTTAGCTTCTATACACGTGGCCGTGTGATAAGAACTTATCAAAATCCTTGCTGGTAATATTGGAAATATGCATGGCTACTTTCTAGTAAGTATTCCCTCAAGATTTAAATTCAAAGATAATGTTATATCCATTTTATAAGACAATAATTATATGGTAATCAAAGAAAGTATATAGAGCATACATTCGACAGGTTTTGTTATGTGTTGTGTTCAGTGTCGATTCTCAGAGCTGTAATTTTGGGAACGATTGTCCTCAGACTGCGACATGCTGTAGGAATAGTGCTGGTCATCCTTTATTGCATTCGGAAGGCTTTGGGCACTTTGGTAAGTTTGCATTAAGAAATTAGATGAAGCTCGATATCTGGAAAGGAATATTATGAGAAATCTACCAACAAATTGAAATAAACAAACAAACAAACAATAAACAATAAGGATTCATTTGATGGAAAAATATATTAAGTCTTTAGAAGAAATTAAGCAATTTAAAGAAAAAAGCATTAGAGAGTACAATTTTTTTTCAACTTTATACAGGTCGCCCGTGTGGCACAGTGGTAGAGCGTCTGCTCTAGAGTCGCAGAGTAAGGACTTGATCCTTGCGTCGTGGGTTCGAATCCCATTGTGGGACGTGGAGACCGGTCATTCGGATGAGACCGTAAAAACCGAGGTCCTATGTCATAGTAGGTGCTGGCACGAAAAAGATTTCTCACTGCTCAGTGGTCCTAAGTGCCGAGAATAGGTCAAAATTTGCAGGTCTCCACGGGCAGGTTGTGGCATCTCCTTATGAGCGAAAAATTCTCTAGAGGGACGTTAAACAACCAACAAACAAACAACTTTATACAGTGTATATTGTTTGAAATTTCTAAGAATAAAAGTCTGTAAATGTTACTCACTGCCGAAGATTTATTTTGATGAGGTTAATCAATGAAAATGAAACAAGATCGTTTCTGTCAAGCGAACCTCAAGAGGGTTCGAACCTCAAGAATAAAGCATATTTTAAAATCATAGAAAATTTTTTGCCGAGTGAATTTTCCGCAGAAAGTTTTTTTTGTCATAATTTCATACTCTTCAGTGATAAGAACTTTACTTTAAATACTAAATTCACATTTAAATTGATATGACTTTTTAATATTTAAAGTTTCTATAAAAAAATATAAGCAAAAAACTCTTCTCAGAAAAAATCAGACCTGAGCCCTTGTACAACAGGCGTTCAAAGGAACAGCAAGACAAAAACATTCACCCGCAAGATTTCATTCTTCATGTATATGACGTTTTATAACAAATATATCTGATTTGTTTTAGGAGGAGAGTTAATAATGGACCGTTCAGGACAGTGTACATCACAATTGTCTCGTGAACACGAAGTGTGTGACTCGCATTACTGTAAATGTGAACCAGGTAATCAATACAAGGGCAAACCCCACAGTGGGAAGGGATGGAGTGGGGTACAATTTTTATTCTGCTGTGGTTATAATACAATATTTTGCTATTTGGAAAGGGGGGTGGGGTGGTAAGCATAAATTCATAAGCACACTCCCTTTAGTGATACAAAAAATGATTTAACGTTAGATACTAGTAATACTTTAATATATTTAGATAATTATCGGTAATATAGATACTAAGTAGTTACCACTTTAATATATTTAGATACAAGTAATTAACAGTAAATATTGTAATACCTTTAAAAAATTGTTTCTATTTAAATAAATACTAATAAAAGTCTAACATTTCCAACAATGTTTTACTGAGCGGTCATAAAAAATCGATGTTTGACCTCGAAGTGAGATATTGGACCTGTCGATGAGATGTTGGACCGCTTACGTCACATAATGGGCGGAGTTAAATCTCATTTGCATTCGTTGGTGTTCGACAGTGTTTGACCGAGTTTAACCTCAGTTTACATCATGGAAGACAGCACAAGATACATGCATGTCAAAAAATGATAATAAAATAAAAGGTATAACAAAACATTTATTGACTGTGTTCTCGGGCAAAATGCGTTTTGTCGACCCTCGAAGCAAACTGGCCTAACGGCCTCAGGCAAACAGTTTTGTTCTTGGGTCCGACAAAACGCATGTTGGCCTCGAACCCAGTCAGTAAATGTATGATACGACACTCGTAAATTTTAAGAGCCATTCTCTGTAACGACTTGAACTTTTATATAGGAGCTGTGGCACGCATAGTCTTAGAATTTCTCCAAACTCTCTATGATAAAAGTCTTTGATACCGTAAACTCAAATCAGGCAGAAATTGGTTGCTACGTGTCATGGTTACCATGGTAACATGTCCTAAAGTTTAAAAAATGGCATTTTTCAACATGTTCAAAGTCCCACAGTTAACGTTTGCAGCAAAGCAAACAAGTGGCAATGATTGTTTCTGAAAGTTGAAGGCCTGATGTATTAAATGCATGATAAACATGTTTGGTAAATCAACTATAACATACGTTACTATGGAAACAAAGTATTCAGAAGTAATAATTTTGCTCATTTAATTTTATAAAATCATAAACTTAAGAATGAAAAAAAAAATATAGGTTGAAATGCAAGCAAATGATAGACAAGAGATCCTTGTAACATATACCAAGGACGAAATATGATATTTCTCACAGGTTGGCAATGGTTGCCATGGTTTTAATACCAAGAAGGGATTGTAAATTTACTCTCTTAGTGTTTAAATCTAATCCTATCTTTTTAAAAAGCATATTTTTATATAAGTAATGATCAATTTTTAAAGACGTTCATGTGACCCTAATTTTCACATTTCAAAAAATTCAAATTCAATTCTTTAAATAGAGCGTTGCTATGGAAATAAGCCGAAAAAATATGCATACAAATCTGAAAAAAATTATGTTTCCTTGGATACGTACCCTTGTATGTAGATTCCCAAAACTTTTATGATTGATAATTATGAACAACTAACCTGACTTTCAATTTTGACTCCCACCCAATCTCGAACTGGATGCAAAAAGCTGGCACATAGGGTTTTATATTGATATAAAATTAACAAAATCGAACATTTTCTGTTCTTGGTTACCATAGCAACAGTGTTGTATTTTTCAACAAACGTTATCAATATATGATATTCAACTTTAGTTCTACCAGATAAGTACTATTCAGGGTGAGTCAGATAATATGTTTCTTGAATAAAAGGTAAGTAAATTCCTAAGGCAGCAAAAAATATCACTTTAAACAACTGGTACATTGTTTCCATGGTTACACTGCAAAGTAACAATTAATCCCAATTTTTCTTATGTTGTCGGTGTTGCTAGGTCCTAAGGATGTATATGTGCCAGTCATGAATTTTATCGATTTTCCGGAAGATAGTAGCATTAACCCAATCTTAGCAACATATTTTGCATGGTTACACTGTGTTACCATGGCAACCCTGAAAGTTATTTTTAGAATAATATTGCCAATACCTAATTACTTAAGGTCAAATATTTTTATTGTTTTTTCTTAGGTTGTTGATTGAGTTTGATCATTTAACACCTATCATTAGTGAATATTGAGCGTTTTTCTGCATTTTTCAGCATCTAAATGTATTCCAAATGTACCCATGGTTACCACTTACTTAGAGATAAATTCTAAATAGTTTCTTTAGAGCATAAGTGGCAACAAGGTGTCAAATTTTTGTGAGAATGGTTTCTTTGTTTTTCTTAGTCTTTATTAAGGCTTAATAAAGATTCAAAGTAAGTGAAAATCTCAATTTTTCCAACTTTTCTGCCTGTTACCATGGCAACCAAGACATATAGCAACGAAATTTTATTTGAAATATTTATCTGGTGTCAAGTTGTAATAATGGACAAAGTTTCATCAAAATCAGTGACCATGCGTGGCAAAGAAGTTTAAGTGGTTACAGAGAATCGCTATTAAACAGTAAACACTTAAACACATTCAGATATTTAACAGTAACGATGTGTCCATGTTACAGGCTACGAGTGTTATACACCAATGTCTGGGGTATGTTGTCCACAGGCTCACTGTTACAACGCCACCTGGGTGAAGCAACAGAGGGATTACTGGCGGAACTGTATGTCAAACCCTAAATGTGCTCTTCCACCTTAAGTGGAACCACAGTTTACCAATAATTCCACAAAGTAAAATACACATTAACATATTTTTCATTGTTGTTAATACTTTATATGTATGGTGATAGTGATTATGATCGATGTGATCTTAAAAAGAATTTGGTACTGGGGTAAGTAATATACTAAAGTTACAAGAGTTAGGCTCCAGTTGGACAACCCTCGTAGTTAGGCTCCAGTGTGATAATACTCGTAGTTAGGCTCCAGTGTGATAATACTCGTAGTTAGACTCAAGTCGGACAACCCTCGTAGTTAGGCTCCAGTGTGATAATACTCGTAGTTAGACTCAAGTCGGACAACCCTCGTAGTTAGGCTCCAGTGTGACAATACTCGTAGTTAGGCTCAAGTCGGACAACCCTCGTAGTTAGTCTCCAGTGTGATAATACTCGCAGTTAGGCTCCAGTTGGACAACCCTCGTAGTTAGGCTCCAGTGTGACAATACTCGTAGTTAGGCTCAAGTCGGACAACCCTCGTAGTTAGGCTCCAGTGTGACAATACTCGTAGTTAGGCTCAAGTCGGACAACCCTCGTAGTTAGGCTCCAGTGTGACAATACTCGTAGTTAGGCTCAAGTCGGACAACCCTCGTAGTTAGTCTCCAGTGTGATAATACTCGCAGTTAGGCTCCAGTTGGACAACCCTCGTAGTTAGGCTCCAGTGTGACAATACTCGTAGTTAGGCTCAAGTCGGACAACCCTCGTAGTTAGGCTCCAGTGTGACAATACTCGTAGTTAGGCTCAAGTCGGACAACCCTCGTAGTTAGTCTCCAGTGTGATAATACTCGCAGTTAGGCTCCAGTTGGACAACCCTCGTAGTTAGGCTCCAGTGTGACAATACTCGTAGTTAGGCTCAAGTCGGACAACCCTCGTAGTTAGGCTCCAGTGTGACAATACTCGTAGTTAGGCTCAAGTCGGACAACCCTCGTAGTTAGGCTCCAGTGTGACAATACTCGTAGTTAGGCTCAAGTCGGACAACCCTCGTAGTTAGTCTCCAGTGTGATAATACTCGCAGTTAGGCTCCAGTTGGACAACCCTCGTAGTTAGGCTCCAGTGTGACAATACTCGTAGTTAGGCTCAAGTCGGACAACCCTCGTAGTTAGTCTCCAGTGTGATAATACTCGCAGTTAGGCTCCAGTTGGACAACCCTCGTAGTTAGGCTCCAGTGAGACAATACTCGTAGTTAGGCTGCAGTGGGACAACCTTTGTAGTAATTTCCCAGTTGGGACAACCCTCGTATTAAGGCTCCAGTGGGACAACCCTCCAGTGGGACAACCCTTGTAGTTAGGCTCTAGTGGGACAACCTTGTAGTTAGGCTCCAGGGGGGGGGGGCAATCCTTGTCCAGAAAATATAGTTATTAAGAACAGAACAAAGGAAAAAAAACTGTTGTATTAATCTGTCCAGTTCACTGTGAAAACTTGATTTAGATACCATGAGAAATGTATTTGGAGGGTATTCTTATTTTGTTGTGTTGACCATGTCCTGTGAAGACATTGCACCAAATGATTCGTTGGTGGGATTTTTATTTCTTGGAGGATAGAGTACCAGAGGTTGAGCTTGATACAGAAATAAATCAGAATGTGAAGACCGTTTGCTTGAAAAATTCAAACGTGTCCTTTTAAATACAATAAAGATCCAAGGATCAAAGATTGAATTCAAAACGGAGGGTCGTAGCGCATTACGTTCAAATACAATGTAATCCATTTCCCACTGCATAACAGAATATGGTATCTCTCAAAAACACGAAAAAGAAATAGATTCATACATTTGATAGTTTAGAAAGAGGTACTATCATGTTGTAAATTTTGAATTTATTGGGTGGAGATAAATGCAAAATTTACTTAAGAAATAAACAACAATGTTAAAAAGTTCTCTGGGAAATGAACTTGGTTGGTCACGTGATCAAATCCTGTGAAGCCCGAAGGGCTTCTCAGAAGATTTGATCACGTACCAACCAAGTTCATTTCCCAGTGAACTTTTTAACATTGTTGTTTATTACTTTTATTTACATTTGAGACGGAATATTCTGAGTAGAACTGCATTTATTACACAAACGGCCCGCCGTATTGCTATGTTGTGACGCGCAATGACCTAGAAGCTGTTTGTTCTTCAGAGTTCGCCTCGCTCCAACATTTGAATATTTACATGGATGTTAAGCCGTCCAGTTCAGGAAATAACTGTTCGTAATGAAAAAACAATGATCGCTACTGAGAATAATCTTACTATTATTGTATGAGTTCTTTATATATGAAGTCAAAAGCGGTGGTATATCGTCTTCAGTTTACATACCTTCAAAGGAATTTCGGGTTAAAAAGGTAAGCGTGATTTTAGGCTAATTATAAACATTCTTCACACCCAAGAAAGATATAATTATCATTTGTTGAACAAAAAAAATATATGTTTCAATAATTTTATCTTTTTCATCGCTTTAACGGCTCAGAAGTTCCGAAACAGTGTCACTGTGACAGAAATATGTAGACAAGATGTCGTCTTGCTGTGTGATTCGGTCACGCCATGACCTCTGACCCCCTAATAAGTTCATACAGAATTGAACATATTTCCTCTTCAATAGGTTCATCTAAGAAAAATATTTGCAAATGTAAATAAAAAAATATAATTAAGAAATAAACAACAATGTTAAAAAGTTCTCTGGGAAATGAACTTGGTTGGTCACGTGATCAAATCCTGTGAAGCCCGAAGGGCTTCTCAGAGGATTTGATCACGTACCAACCAAGTTCATTTCCCAGTGAACTTTTTAACATTGTTGTTTATTACTTTTATTTACATTTGAGACGAATATTCTGAATAGAACTGCATTTATTACACGAACGGCCCGCCGTATTGCTATGTTGTGACGCGCAATGACCTAGAAGTTGTTTGGTCTTGAGAGTTCGCCTCGCTCCAACATTTGAATACTTACATTGATGTTTAGCAGTCCAGTTCAGGAAATATCTGTTCATAATGCAAAAACAATGATCGCTACTGGGAATTATCTTACTATTATTGTACGAGTTCTTTATATATAAAGTCAAAAGCGGTGCTATCGTCTTCAGTTTACATACCTTCAAAGGAATTTCGGGTTAAAAAGGTAAGCGTGATTTTAGGCTAATTAGAAACATTCTTCACACCGAAGAAAGATCTAACGATCATTTGTTGAACGAAAAAAAAAATAATTTATATGTTTCAATAATTTTATCTTTTTCATCGCTTTGACGGTTCAGAAGTTCCGAAACCAGTGTCACTGTGACAGAAATATGTAGACAAGATATCATCTCGCTGTGTGATTCGGTCACGCCATGACCTCTGACCCCCTAATAAGTTCATACAGAATTGAACATATTTTCTCTTCTATAGGTTCATCTAAGAAAAATATTTGCAAATGTAAATAATCTAGAATATTTTACATTTTATATTAACCTAAACCCAGCAAATTCAAAATTTACAAAATGAAAGTACTTTTAACAATACTTACACCATTTATCTATTGTATATACTTTTTATTCTAGAATGACCTCCATGTTACTTATCAATTTCTATTATAACTGGTCAAATTCTTATCACAATATTGCAAATATATATAAAATACATACTAAAAGTGGTGAAATGCAAGAAGTAAACACGATCACAATTGATATGGGGAAGACCATGATGTAGACCTTCTTGTTATCATCTTTCGTGAGTGTTGAAACAGAACTTCATAAAGGCCACTGTGTTTAAAACAGCTGTAGTAATCAGAATGCCTGTCAAAGAGTAAAGAAAAGCGAGGATTCTGCTCAAAGTTGTATCATCTACAAAATCAAGAAAACACCAAAAGCCAGGGAAGAAACTCAGACTTTTACGACCGACGATTAAATGGAGGCTTGACATGAGTTCAGAGAAAATCCAAGTTCCAATTATTGTTAACACAGTTTTTGGTGTGAGCGTTATAACGGTCTGAGTATAATATTGCCGTAAAACAGTCAAGGGTCACAGCACATACGATATGACATGATCATAAACTTCAAAACAAATGCAATATATATATTCACACAGGGTCTGCGGAAAGTCAAATTAAAAATCAGTGGTATAACGAACTATAGCGAAAGGGGAAGCCAACAATATCCCAACCCCGTCCGTAAACGCAATTCCACAAACAAAGCGTTAGGAAGATCTCCATTTGTGATGTTTAGCGGAACAACAAAGAATTATCAAGGCTAAACATTCCTATAACTCCAAAAGTTAGTAAAAGCGCCAATGAAACCACTGCTGGTCATTCAGGTCGCCACTGAAACCACTCCTGGTCATTCAGGTTCTGTTGTGAGTGTTGATCATTGAGATCAGGGGTGGATCCAGGATTTTTTTCTCAGGGAGTGGGGGTCCACATGTCATGTTTTGACAAGGGGAAAAAAGGGAAACATCTTGCCCATGAAAGATTGCTAGCCAAATCCTTCTGTAAAATCATGGTATCCTCCCTAACTCTTTTGATATTTGCCTTGAAGATATTTCCTGAAATTATAAGAAGGAAGGGCTTATATATTGCAGAAAAAAAATCACTAGAGTTTTCTTCCTTTTTTACGAAAGCCGGATAGGCTCATTTTTGACAAGATAAAAAAATAATTAACTCGTTATAACGAGATAGTTATCTCGTTATAACGAGTTAGTTATCTCGTTATAACGAGTTAGTTATCTCGTTATAACGAGTTAGTATCTCGTTATAACGAGATAATTATCGCGTTATAACGAGTTAGTATCTCGTTATAACGAGTTAGTATCTCGTTATAACGAGTTAGTTATCTCGTTATAACGAGTTAGTTATCTCGTTATACGAGTTAGTATCTCGTTATAACGAGTTAGTATCTCGTTATAACGAGTTAGTTATCTCGTTATAACGAGATAATTATCTCGTTATAACGAGTTAGTTATGTCGTTATAACGAGACAGTTTTCTTGTTATTTTGAGACTTAATAGCAATATAGGAATAAAAATGGCTGCAGTTTTAAATGCCATTGAATTTTTAGCAAGTAATTATCAGTCAAATTTAACTTGAACAATTGATAAA